AAATGGGTTTGCTTCAGGGGATTGATTGTGTTCTAAGGATTTATATGAAACCAAAGTCAATAGATTTTTCAGAACTTTGGAAGCCAAAAGCATAGTGACAATATGATTGACTCAGCATATGTATATATGCTTGGATTTAGCGGGAATCATATATTAATTAGGTCGTCAGATTATAAAATGAGAGCGGGAAAAAATAGCTGTGAGATAACTAAAGGTGTTTAGAGAGTTTTAAGAATATATATTTAAATAAAATCCGAATCTTTGAATTGAGATATTCATAAACGAATAAATTTGTCATGAACCAGTTGGTCCCAATAACTCGAGTTCCCAATAAATCGAGTTGTTGGAAGAAGGTTATGCTGGATCTTATAGGACTCTCTAACACGCCCCTCAAACGAAAGTCAACCCATGGGTTTGAAATTTGCACAGACCCACCATACCATGTGCTTTAATCAACTGTTAGTATTGGGGGTCGTGGAGATTCGAACACACGACCACTTGGCGAAACCAACTCTGATACCACGTCATGAACCAGTTGGTCTCAATAACTCGAGTTGTTGGGAAAATGTTATGCTGGATCTTATAGCACTCTCTAACAGAATTTGTCGGACTAAACACGGACTTCAGACTTGTAGTACATTATGGTAAGTCAATTGTTAGATGTTGAAAAAATTGTAAGTGATTAGCTTGGTGAGAAAATGAGAGATTCGGAAGGAAAATAGTTGAACTCGTACGAGATTTTAGTGAAAATGTCGAGGTCATATTCATCAAGTTAAGTTCTTGTATACGAAAGACAATTACATCAATGTTGCCGGTAACCGGCAATATATATATATATTTTTTTTACTATTTCTCATTCTCTAAATATATCTCATAATTCATATCATTCAAACAAACTTTAGACTATTTATCTGTAAATAACAAAAACCACCCTTTCAAAAAACTACAAAGCAAAACGTTAGAGAGATCAAAATTCAACGACTAATATATATTTGATGATGGTTCAATTTCTGACCCTAATTATTCTTTTAACAATTCACCACGGCCGGCCGCGGCCGATAGCAATTTGATCTGCCGGCCAAAACCGATATTATGAGAAACGGATTGAATATTATGCATAGAGAGGTCACAACAAATAATGATTTTTTTTTAATAAACAGAGCCGCACAAAGGAACGCTCTAATCCTTAAGTATTAATCAGACGAGAAGTACAAATAATGATTATTTAACGAGAAGTCAGAATTTAATATTAATTTTTTTTTTTTTTATAAGGGTGATATAGGTTTCTCTTTTTATGATTAAGGTACTACTTAAGGGATTCGAACCTGAGATCTCCAGGTTCTAGACAAGTGGTATTACCACTAGACCAAGCCCTTGTTCGTTAATATTAATTTTTATGAAGATCATATATAGAATTGCATGTTGTTTTGTTTTCACTCATATGTCGTTTATTTCGTAGACTTACTTATTAGAAAAATACATCCAAATGTTTACATACAAAAAAAAATTGTACATTGGTACCTTCATCCAGCTGCCTCATTTAGCAAAGTCTCAATCATAGATGTGGACTTCGGAGATGTCATCATTTTCATTTTAATAGTTGAAATTAATTTGTGTATTCTTACTCATAATTTTGTCCTTATAATGCTCATTAGATGAAATTGCTCGATTCATAACAAGCTCCAAAATTAATTAAATATAAGCAAATATAAAATTAATTTCTGCGTAAACTTACATTTTCCCCCTATTATGTGCTGAAGGCTGAAACCATCAAAATACCGATGATACATTTATCCACCTATGATGATAATTAAAGTTATCATATGAGTACAAAAATGGATGGTTTACTATATGGTTAATAGCAAGTATTGCCCCTCTACTATAATTTCTTCTCAAACTTGCGCTTTTTACTGTCGCATAGATATCAAACTTGCCCTTCTATTAATTAGGGCTGGGAAACGGTGCGGTCTGGTCCAGACCAGACCATATATACGGTCCACGGTCCAGACCGAGAGGCTAAAGTATAGACCACAGACCAGACCACAGACTATACGGTCTGGTCCAGACCACGCCTGTGCGGTCTGGTTCGGTCTGGTCTGGTCCAGATAGACCACACTCAACGAAAAATGAATAATTTGTTTAGTCAACCACACAAAAAATTGAACCAATAACCAAGAAAAATAATTGTTATTTGCCTTAAAACATTAATCCTAACATGCATGAATAATTTTGATACTCTAAATCTTAGTACATAACAAAGATACAAAGTAAAAGCATCTCGGCTTGCCAATAATGTCATAAACATTAACATAATGTCATATGAAGACATGATTATCTCTACTCTGTGGTTAAATGTGGTTGTGAATGAAGGAGGGAAGAGATTCACAAAATTAAGGTTGAGACTTGGGTGTCGTTGTGGGAGTTTGGAGAGTGGTCTAATGAGCTGTTAACACGTATTGTGTGTCAGTTGGGTCTACGGTTTGGTCCGGTAAACCGCGGTCTAGACCAGACCAGACCAAGAGATCAAATCATAAAATAATACAGACCATGGACCAGACCAGACCATACTTCACGGTCTACGGTGCGGACCAAACTGTGCAGTACGGTTTGGACCACGGTTTTTCTAACGGTCTGGTCTATTTTCCCAGGCCTACTATTAATAAATCCATCCCAACTCCCAAATCCGTCAATAAATAGTTGGACTTACCCTTCTATTAATAAATCCGTCCCAACTCCCAAATCCGTCAATAAATAGTTGGACATGCATGTTTGACCATAGCAAAATGGGAGGGGAACGTCAAATTTACCCCTCCTTATTCCTTGCTTGTTTTGGCATGCATCTTCCCCCTAAAGAAAAAGAATCGCCGGCCACTCCTCTGACCCCTCCGCCTTCCTTCTGTCTGAACCAATCGTCTCCTCTACCGTCACCGATCTCGCCATCCATGGCGGCTCTTGTCTTCACTCGCACCATTTTTCAACAACCCAATCCCTTTCCTTTAACTTTCCCCATACCGTCACAAACAAATTGTGAAGCCTCATTTCAAATTCCCGATCCCTCTTTCCCAACACTCTAGTCTCTGATATCCTCCATTACGTTCATTAAGCCCGGATTTGGACGGAAAGGTACCATCACAGATTTCAGACGATTTTTTTGAAATGCTGTTTTGTTTCGATTTTGAAGGCTACAATTGACGGATTCAGTCAGAGGTTATTCTCCACCGATAATGAAGTCTATTGATCCTATTCTCCACCAATGATTAAGTCCATAAAACACACAATTGGACCAATTTATTTTGGGATTGCATTTTCGTAATTCTTTGTGTGATTTTTTCCCGAAATGACATTTTTCTTGGATTTTGAAGGTTACAGATAATGAATTCACCCTTAGGGTATTCTTCAACAATGATTAAGTTCATTAAGCACGGATTTGGGCGGATTTCTTCCGGGTTCATTTTTGGCAGATTCCAAAGGGGTACCATCACAGATTTCGGGCAATTTTTCCGAAATGCTGTTTTCTTTTGATTTTGGAGGCTACAGATGACGTATTCAGTCTGAGGCTATTCTCCTCCGATAATGAAGTCTATTGATCTTATTCTCCTCCAATGATTAAATCCATAAAGCACAGAATTTAACCAATTTATTTTGGGATGACATATTCGTTATTTTTGGGCGATTTTTTTTCGAAAGTACATTTTCCTTGGATTTTGCAGGCTACAGAGCACAGATTCGGCCTTAGGGTATTCTCCAACGACGATTAAGTCCATTAAGCATGAATTTGGGCGGATTTATTCCAGGTCCATTTTTGGCAGATTCCAAAGAGGGTACCATCACCGATTTCGAGCTATTTTTCCGAAATGCGGTTTTCTTTTGATTTTGGAAGCAAATCAGGTTGAATTGTATTCTGATTCTCTTCCCAACAAATCTCCTTTCCCACCGGGGTCATCTTCCTCGTCAAAAGAGGCCTCCCCGCCATCTTCGCGGATCGCTTGGGCGATGTCCTCATCATCCCAGTCGGCCACATATCAGTCCTTCTTTCTTCGCTGAACAGCTTTCGTGCTCCATCACCGACGAGTTCCACGCTGACGGTGTGTGGCCAAAGCATTTGCTCTACTATGTAACTATGATGCTATGGGTACATGCGAACAACATTTATTTACATTAATTCACGCTTAGCGCGTCAATCTTCTAACCAAAAAAAAAAAAAAAAAGTCGTTGGGTTTAAAATGGAGTAATAGTTGGGTTGGGCTTAGCTTGCAGAATCACGAACCTTTATCTGAACAGACGATTAACTAATGGGCTTCATACCCAGCATGTCTCAAAAGAGAAAAAGGCCCTTGATTGCCGGCGAGAGGAAAAGTCAAAAGAGTATCCATTTACATATGCCTTCAGCCTTCTTCCATAATTGAGTGGTGACTAAGGATTTCCATGTCAGTTCGAAGCCGTCCCCAACCTTGACCTTGACGTCTGACTTTTCATTTCAATTAGAGAAAGCTAGCTAGCTTTCCACGAAGTGAAGGCCGTAGCTTTCTGAAGTCTGATGAGACTTGCAAAATTCTTCAGTCATTGCAAAGATTCCTTTTGATTAGATTAGGATGGGTAAGATATTCACTACCGCGAATAAATTTTCTCTACATTATTTTTTTTGGGTAGCAATATGATCAAATTATGTGGATGTCTTAACTTAAGTCATTTTTATTTTCTTCAAATCAAACATATTGCTTGTACTTAGGTTGGACGTACAAAAAATACGTACTCGATCAAAATTTTTGAAAGAGCACTTACTCAACAACTTCTACTAAAGATTCATGATGACGATACAAAAGAAAAATAAAAGAACAACCAGATGATAACGTGAGAATGCCAAGTGCACCACTCTCTTATTTGATTTGAACATTAAAGATAATATTTCTTAGAATTACAAATATGCCTTGAAAGTTACAATAGATAATATATGGATCCTATAGAGATTGTTATTAGTAATGGTGAAACCATTGATGACTCTAGACAGTGCTCATGAAGGATGCAGGATCTGGAGGGATAGGAATTTGAACGGAGCCTTCCAACATACGAACGATTTTATTCATTCCAGGCCTCAGCGACGGATCATCCTGAATGCACCATATCGCGACCTTGACGAATTTCTCAACCTTTCCAATATTAGCCATTGCATCGTTGTCGCTCTCCACCAGCCTCGACACTTGCCCTTCCTGGTAGCATTCATATGCCCAATCGGCAAGAACCACTTCGTCCTCATTTTCCGCCTCCATTTCCAGCTTGCTTCTGCAACAAACCAGCTCCAAGAGCAGAATGCCGAAGCTATACACGTCAACTTTAGTCGTGACGGGCATGTTCTTGAACCACTCCGGAGCGCAATACCCTTTGGTACCCCTGATTCCGGTTAGGGTCCGAGTTTGGCCCACCTTGAGGAGCTTGGCGAGTCCGAAATCCGAGATTTTGGCCGTCATCGACTCGTCTAGCAGGATGTTCTGCGGCTTGATGTCGCAGTGGATGATCTGGGTACTGCACTCTTCGTGAAGGTAAAACAGTCCTCTTGCGACCGCGGAAGCTATCTCCGCTCTTGTGTACCAACTAGGCCTTGAATGACCTTCTCCAAACAACAAATCCGCCAACGACCCATTTCTCATGAACTCGTAAACTAGAAGTCGATGCAACCCTTGGTTGCAGAAGCCAACGAGCTTCACCAAGTTCTTATGATTGGTTCCGCCAATTACTTTCACCTCGGTTTTGAACTCCTGATCCTGAGCTTCGGTAACCGCCTTGTCCAACCTTTTCACCGCGACGAGTTGTTGGTCCGGCGGCAGAACACCTCTGTAAACCGTTCCCGAGGCACCACTTCCCAACACTTCCGTGAACCCTCCCGTCGCTAGCTCTAGCTGACAGTGTGAGAAGTGTTGAAGGTTCCTAGATAACCAATCGTTCTGTCTTTGGAGAACAACGTCTTTGACACCGCTTTCTCGATCCTTCTTCTTCTTCATCAACATCTTTCTCCTGGTAAGGAGCATGAAAGTTGCGGCAGTGAAGAGGATAAAAAAAGTCGCACAGGCTGAAAGCACCAACCCAACAACGAACAAAGTTTGCCCATTTTTCTCCTCCTCCTTTGGAACTGGAAAATACTCTGGCGCCAAGGAGGTGGTGGAGTTAGATCTCCTTATCTTGATCAACGATTTCCCGGACATTGCATCTTCCACTCTTCCATTGGACAAAGGGGATCTCTTCATCGTGCAGGTTTCTCTGCTGTAGGTTACTAAAGCACAGCGGCAATCGTTCAGGCAAGATTGTTGACACGCCTCCTCTGTCTCGGACGGGAAAGAATCGTAGTTAGATTCCGACCAATTCACCTTGGGCATCGCCGCAAGAACGAATAATGCATCATTATTATTGTTGCTTTCCTGTGGATGGCGGCAGTCCTCCGGATCGAAGTCCGGAACGCACCCTCTGCTCTCGTCGGATGGGTCCTGAAACACATATTTCGGCGGGCACTTGCAAACGCGACGATTATCATCTTCCAATTCACAGTAACTGTTGTAGCCGCAAGCTCCACTGCCCAGCGGGCCCCCGATGGCTGTGCAAATGTCCGGTGGCTCGAAATACAGGCTGTCCCATTTCATCGGCCACACGCTGCCGCCGTCCGACGTGGAAGCATGATCAGTACTGCTACTCATGTCGTTCCTCTTTGGGTGCTCGTAGTACCTCAAGACCCCGTCGTAATCGAAGGTCACCCGGTGATAAAAATCTTGGCTAGATCCACCGCCGTTGAACACGGTGTCGAGCACGGTTCCATTGGCGGCGAGCAGGTTCAGGAACCCAGATTGGTTGAGTGCCAAACTGTAGCCTGCCCGTATGTAATTCCGAGTTACCCAATAAGCAAATTGATCGGCCCGCGACTCGGGGTAATGTGTGGTGTACATCACCAAATTCCCGTCATCCTGCATGATGAACTTGAATCTGCTCTCGGAGTAATTCGATTTCGAATACTTAGCTATCAGCTGGGTGTCTCGCTCCAGAGCCTGGGTCGGGAGCAGAGTATCCGTCGGGTCCTGGAAGCTCCCCCACACAGACGAGACGACATTGGCTGCCGCTGCCAGTACGAAATTGCCCGTGTCCAGCATGGCGGCGTGGGAAGCTGCTCGTTCGCCGGTGTCGGGAGTCCAGATCTGGCGGCCTGATGGGTCGGTGAGGACCAAGCGGCCGCCGGTGGTGAGCTCGACCTTGGACCCGCGGGGGGCCAAGTTGTTGCGATTGGCGGACCAGACCACGGTTCTCTCGGGAATTTTGTCGAACACCACGGCGAGCAAGTAGCCGCCATCATCATGGGTGCCATTGCCAACCTGCTCAAACCCGAACGCGAAATCGCCGGACGGGGATACCCAGTGAGCGTTTGAAGCAGCGGCGGTGAGGGATGAACCCAGTGATACGTTGCGGTTACTTTGGGGGGTGACCAAGAAGGGCAGGAGGAGGAGGAGAAAGGACATCGTCAAATATTCGAAGGACGCCATTGATGGATGGATGGAATGAATTTTGGGACAAGCTTAATTGGTAGGCTTTTAAACTACCGGTACACTAATTTCTAACCACTCGGAACAAAAGATAGCGCGAGGTAGACGACAACCGTTTACTCTGGGTGCACGTCGTGAAGACTGGGAGAGCTGAGGCAATCACTGATATATATCTATCATCCATCGCATCGCCGATGGGACATGCATGGAATGTTGGAAATGGAAAACCAAATTGCCAACTTCACTTATTTTCCACTCAAAAATCTCCCATCTAATCTGGAAAATTCTTAGCTCCAACCATGGTTTGACGTAGAAACTTCAACCATCCAATGTGTCAGTTTATTATTAGTAGATTCACCTTTTTTTTTATTAATATTTAATTATGCTAAGTAAATCAAGAATTAAAATATTAAAAAATATGAAATCACCAATAAAAAACTTACACGTGACTGGTTGGAGTTTCTGCGTCCAACCATGGTTGGAGCTAAGTTCATTAAGTGACGAGTCGGATATCGAACGAGTTTTTCTCGAAACTGATCAGCGTCCAACTGTTCGCTAGCGACTTGACTCGTTTGCAGCTCTAATTAGAAGGCAAAGAATTTCCACGCGTTCTTCCATAATCCAGTGGTGATGGGAGAGAAGCGGTGTCTGCTCGTCCGTGCATGGCGAGAAAAGGGCGCCCCATGAGTTTGACTTTTCTAGGTGGAGAAAGCTTCCACGAAAGGAAGCATATAGCTTTTCTGCAGACTTGATGCAAGTCGTCAAATTCGGTCAATGTGGAGATTCCACTGGATTATGGAATCACATAACATATTCAAGTAACTTATATAAATTTGAGAGATGGTGGATCCATTGATTTGAGAGATTAGTGCAAAAATAGTTATGTAAATTTGTTGCATATATTAATAATTTAAATTTTACTCAAACTAAAGCTATTTTGTGAAATGATAATTATGTTCAGCTCTATACAATACATTAAACTTCAAATACGCAAATAATATTATTTAGCATTTTTTTCACTTAGGCGTTGTATTTTTGTGAGATATAATGATGTTTATCTGTATTAAGCGATTATAATTTCTAGTCTTGTTTGATGTTTCTCTTTTTTACAAGCTCTTCTTCTTTGAACTTGCTACCCAGCTTTTATAGGTTGTGAAATAAATGATGTTTTTATTACAGCAAACTATGTGGAGGACACGCACTGAAATGGAATGAGTATAAATAAACAATTATTTTGTACGATGAATTGAGATGAAATAGTTCGAACGAAAATAATATCTTACAAATTATCTCATAATACGAGTGATTAAAAAATTGACAACAAATGTTTTTATCATACATTAAAAAATAAATAACTCACCTTACAAAGAATTCAGGCTACGCCTCTGGAGGCAACATTTTTTAGAAAATAATACAAGGGTGCGTTTGGATACAAGGATTTGGATTTGGTATTTGTGATTTGGATTTTCAAATACCAAATCATGTGTTTGGATATTAATTACATTTGGTATTTGGATTTGTGTCAAATTCATGGGGTGATTTCCAAATACATGTCTAGTGTATTTTTTGTCAACTTCAAATACATTTCAACAACTAGTGATTTGAAATACCTCATAACAAAAGAATGGACCTATTTGTAAAGTATGAAAAGTTTAGGTACTATAGTGTGAGGCAAAACATATAAAGGTACCAAAATGTAATTTTACCATCAAAATTTCAGGACCTTTTTTGCAAAATTTTAAAAGTTTAGGTACTAAATTGTAAGAAAAATTAATTTTGGGTACCAAACAGTAATTTATCAAAATTTGTAGTAAGTGACCAGAAAATTAAAAATTGAAATTGAAAATCATAAATACAAAAATACAATCAAATTACAAATGAGTATCCAAACAATGAATTTGAATTACATGTATTTCAAATGCTAATACTTCAAATACATCCATTTCAAATGCTAGTATTTCAAATACCTTACATTTAAAATATATTTATCCAAACGCACCCCAAGAGGAGAATTCATTTACTTTAGATGGATTCTATGGAGATTTCAATGAGGATTGTGAAACGATTATGAGACTTATATAGTGCTCATGAAGGAGGCAGGATCTGGAGGGATAGGGACATGAACGGAGCCTTCCAACATATGAATGACTTTAATCATCCCGGGCCTCAACGACGGATCATCCTGAATGCACCACATCGCAACCTTCACAAATCTCTCGACTTTTCCTATATTAGCCATTGCCTCATCGTCATCCTCCACCAACCTCGCCAGTTTCCCTTCCTTGTAGCATTCATATGCCCAATCGGCAAGAACCACCTCATCCTCGCTTTCCGCCTCCATCTCCAACTTACTTCTGCAACAAACCAACTCCAAGAGCAGAATGCCAAAACTATGCACATCGACTTTCGCGGTGACGGGCACGTTCCTGAACCACTCTGGAGCCACGTACCCTTTCGTGCCCCTGATTCCGGTCATTGTTCGCGTCTGGTCCACCTTCAAAAGCTTGGCCAATCCGAAATCCGCGATTTTGGCGGTCATCGACTCGTCCAGCAAGACGTTTTGTGGCTTGATGTCGCAGTGGATGATCTGGGTACTGCACTCCTCGTGCAAGTACACTATCCCTCTAGCCACCGAAGAAGCTACCCCCGTTCTTGTGTACCAACCGGGCCTCGAATTACCACCTCTTCCTCCGAACAACAACTTGTCCAACGACCCATTGCTCATGAACTCGTAAACCAGCACCCGGTGCAACCCTTCGTTGCAGAAACCCACGAGCTTTACCAGGTTCTTATGGTTAGTTCCGCCGATCACTTTCACCTCGGTTTCGAACTCCCGGTCCTGAGTTTGGCTCACCGCGTTGTCCAGCCTTTTCACCGCAACGAGCTGTTGGTTCGGTAGAACCCCTCGGTAAACCGTTCCAGAGGCGCCACTTCCCAGCACTTCGTTAAACCCTCCCGTGGCTAGTTCTAGCTGACGGTACGAGAAATTTTGAAGGTTCCTAGATAACCAATCATTCTCCCCATCTTTGCCTCCTCTTTCTTGATCCTTTTTCTTCTTCTGCCTGGATAAAAGAATGAAGGTTGTGGCTGACAAGAGGATAACAAAGGCTGAAGTGGCCAAAAGCACCGACCCAACAATGAACAAAGCTTGCCCATTCTCCTTCTCCTCATTCTCAACCGGAACTGAAGACACTGGCGGCGGGAAGGTCGTGGTGGTGGTGGTGGAGTTAGATCTCCTCACTTTGATCAACGATCTCCCGGGCATCGCGTCTTCCACTCTTCCATTCGACAAAGGACTTCTCTTCATCAAGCAAAATCCTCTGTTGTAGACAACCAAAGTGCACCGACAATCCTTCAGACAGGATTGCTGACACACATCCTCCGTCTCAACCTCGAAAGTCTCGTAGTTGGATTGCGGCCAGTTCACCTTGGGCATCGCCGCGAGATCGAACGCATCGATTTCCTCCGGGAGACGACAGTCCTGCGGAGCGAAGTCAGGAACGCACCCTTTGGTCTCGTCGGACGGGTCCAGGAAAATGTACCTCGGGGGACACTTGCAAACGCGGTATTGACCGTCCTCCAGTTCACAGTAACTGTTGTAGCCGCAAGCTCCGCTCCCCAAGGTTCCCCTCACGGCCGTGCAAATGTTTTTCGGCTCGAAATCGAGGCTGGCCCACTTCGTGGGCCACACGCCGTCCTCCTCCGACGACGTGGAACCGTTGTTGCGACTAGGGTTGTTGTTGTTGTTGCTATGAGAAGAAAGGAAGAACAGCAGAGTATTTGCTAGGGTTTTTGGTGAAGGTTCTCAAAACTTGAGATCTTCATTTTCTGGATTTCTCATTATATACCCAACCACCTTTACAGAGGAAATGGAAACCAACGGCTAATCTACAGTATTAACTAACTAATCAAAAACAACCAACAAAGCAGAGACACGTGTCCATAAGACACAATTAAATTGCAAATCAACGAACTAAGAAGGACGACAACGTTTTAGCCATCTCTGTCTTCTATTGATGAAACGCCTTCGTTTTGCTCCAAAGCTGCTTTGCGGATTAGAGCAAAACGCCGCCGTTTCTTCTGGGCAAGTGATCCTCAGTTGCAAACGTCTCCAACTTGCAGCAGCAGCCTTCCTGCATTTCCACTTTGATTCAATCTTCAGCTGCTGCTGCTCATTCATCTATTACCCCCCTTCAAGCTGGCGAGTGTCTTCCAGAGACTCCCAGCTTGGACATCAGCATGTTGAAACGATCTATACCAAGACTTTTGGTAAATATATCTGCCAACTGATAGGTAGTTGAAATATGTTTCAAATCAAGCAAACCATTCATCAGTCTTTCCCTAATAACATGACAATCAACCTCAATATGTTTAGTTCGCTCATGAAAGACTGGATTCCTGGCAATGTGTATAGCTGACTGATTGTCACAATAAACCAAGGCTGGTTGAGAGTGAACAATCCCAAAATCAGAAAGTAACCTTACCAACCATTGAACCTCACAACTGAGCTGAGCCAAAGCTCGATATTCTGCTTCTGAGGAAGATCTGGAAACTGTACTCTGCTTCTTTGTCTTCCAACTGATCAGACTTGTCCCCAGAAAAACACAAAACCCTGTCAATGATCTTCTTGAATCAGGACATGTGGCCCAATCAGAATCACTGTACCCTGTCAACTGCACAGCAGAATCCTTAGAATAAAACAATCCTTGACCAGGTGAATTACTCAAGTATCTAAACACCCTCTGCAAGGCTTTGTAGTGAACTGTAGTTGGTGAATCTTGGAATTGGCAAAGCTGTTGAACAGCAAAGCTTATGTCTGGTCTAGTGCTTGTCAAATACTGCAATTGTCCCAGCAAGTGTTTGAACTTGCTAACCTCTAGAAAAGGATCACCATCTGAAGCTGAAAGCACTTGCTTTATGCTGGAAGGAGTTTTAGCAGGTTTGCATTCATCAAACCCTGCCTCCTTCAAGAGTTCAGTGCAATATTTCCTTTGAGAAACATGAGTTTTGTTTACTTCTAAACCAAGGAAATACTGCAACTCTCCTAAGTCCTTCATTTTAAACAAGGACTTTAGCATGTTTTTAACTGAAATAACTGCTTCCAGATTCACACTACCAACTACAATGTCATCAACATAGACAATTAGGACTACCAGATGTCCTTTGATCTCAGTTAAGAAAATTGAATAGTCAGACATAGATTGTCTGAATCCATTTGCAAGCAAAGACTCTGTTAATTTGGCATACCACATCCTACTTGCCTGCTTCAAACCATATAGGGACTTCTTTAATTTGCAGACCTTTCCCTTGTACTCAGGCTTGTCCCTCATGCCTTCTGGCAATTCCATGTACACATCTTCCTCCAATTCACCATTTAAGAAAGCATTGTTAACATCCATTTGATGTAAATGCCAGTTGTTAACAGATGCAACAGCTAGCAACATTTTTACAGAAGTCAGTTTGGCCACAGGTGAGAAAGTATCACAATAATCAATGCCATACACTTGTGTATCCTTTGGCAACCAAACGTGCTTTAAATCTCTCAATTGTTCCATCAGGATTGTACTTGATCCTGAAAACCCACCTGTTACCAACTGCCTTCACTCCCCCTGGCAAGTCAGTGATGTCCCAAGTATTATTATCAAACAGTGCTTGCAATTCCTCAATCATGGCTGCATTCCACCTAGGATCTTGAGCAGCCTCTGCATAACAGGAAGGCTCAAAGGCTGCTGCAAGGGCTAAAGCAAAGTGCTGTTGTTGTGGTGAAAGATGAGCCAAGTCTGGAGGGATAACCAACTTGGGACCAAAACTGACTTGATTCAAACCCACATAGAAATCATCATACTTCTTAGGAAATGTTACTTGCCTTGTTGATTTTCTAAGGGGTACTACTGGTGTGGTTGGAGGAGTGAGAGGAGGAGCAGGAGTGGGAGACAAATCAGAAGAAGAAGAGGAGGAACCTCTAACTGAAGTGTCTGAACTTGGAGAAGAAGGAAAAACTGGTGAAGGGAATTGGGGTGATGTGGTGACAGAAGGAGAAGGATATTCTGTCAACTCAGGTTCAAGAGCTGGTGAAGAACCAGAACAAGAAGATTCTTCTGGAAGTGAAGAAGACAAAGGAACAGAAGAAGGCTGTGAGGGAAGCTCTTCTTCTGTAGAATCTGAGTCAGATGTGCCTGTTTTGAAAGGCAAAATCTGCTCATGAAACACAACATCTCTGTTAACAAAGACCTTGTTAGCAGCTAGATCCAACAACTTGTATCCCTTAATGCCATTAGGAATTCCTAGAAACACACACTGTCTAGACCTAGGATCAAATTTAGACTTGTGACCCTCTACTGCTGTAGCATAAGCTAAACAGCCAAACACCTTTAAGTTCATATAGTCAGGGGGAACTTTATGCAAGATTTCAAATGGTGTTTTGTGGTCTAGAATAGGTGTTGGTGTTCTGTTAATCAGGTAGGCTGCATGAAGAACAAAATCTTCCCAGAAAACCAAAGGCAAACCTGATTGAAACTTCAAAGATCTAGCTACATTGAGCAAATGCTGGTGTTTTCTCTCTACCCTCCCATTTTGTTGAGCTGTATAGACACAGCTCATTTCATGAACAATACCATGAGCTGAATAAAAGTCAGTCATGTGGAACTCTTGGCCTTGATCTGTTCTAACCCTTTTAATAGAAACAGAAAATTGGTTTTGAACCATAACACAGAAAGATTGAAGAGATGGCCTGGCCTCAGCCTTTGATTTAAGGAGGAAAACCCACACTGCTCTACTGAAGTCATCCACAACAGTGAGGAAATAAGAGAAACCATTTCTAGAAACTGTATTTAATGGCCCCCAAATGTCAACATGCACAAGTTCAAAAGCATGAGTACTAACTGAGGTGCTTACAGGAAATGGCAACCTCTTTTGCTTAGCCAAGTGACAAACCTCACAATGTTGTGTTAAAGGTAAGGAAACATCATTACAACTTTGTTTAACTACCACTACAAAAAAGACTGGCAGAAGTGACCAAAACCTTCTGACGACACTGTTTTTTCATTGGAAATAACTGTTTTTGTGACAAAACTTTCTTTGTATCATAAAAAAGTATATTATTTCCAATCAATAGCTAAATTCATCAGAAAAGTTAAAATACTTCCTCAGTAAAAGTGATTTTCACATCTATGAGGAAGGTCGTGCCATTTTTATTGACGATATTTTTATTTTCGTCAATAATTTGTAACATTACTAACTGTCCTAAGCAAACCGTCAGAAATGAACATCGTTTGTGACGTCCAAAAAAATGGCATATGTGTCATGACGTTTTTGCGACGCAAAAACACATACTCGGTAAAGAAATATTTGGTATAGTTTTATTTGTGAGGATTTTTGTAGCTTCTCACAAAAATTATCATTTTTTTCGATGGTGATAATACGGTTGTCAATAAAAGATGGTTGGAACAAACGCACACTACATGTAGCTGCCCGACCCATCTTAATGACCACATATTTTCATCGTTAATGAATAGTTGGTTTGAAAAACATGCGAGAAAAAACAATATTAGTGAGCAAACTTGTATTCGTCAATAATATTAAAAATAATCGTCAAAAGTTAAACATTACTGACGAATTATGATGTCGTGGGAAACAAATTTTTGAAATGTACCCTTTTTACCCTTCGGTTGCTTTTTACGAATGTGAAAATGGATTTGATGGAAATGATTGGTCAGAAATATTGTTTTCCGAAAAGGTGTCTTAGTGGATTTCATAATGGAAAAGAACTTTATTTGCGAGGATTTTAGTAACTTCTCATAAAAATCACTATTTTTTCGACGGTGATAATACGGTTGTCAATAAAAGATGGTTGGAACAAACGCACACTACATGTAGCTACCCGACTCATATTAATGACCACATATTTCCCATCGATAATGAATAGTTGGTTTGAAAAACTTACAAGAAAAAAATATTAGTGAGCAAACTTGTATTCGTCATTAATATTGAAAAAAATTCGTCAAAAGTCAAACATAACTGACGAATCATGATGTCGTGGGAAACAGCTTAGTGGATTTCATAATGGAAAACAACTTTAAAAAATAAGTCATTGATGAAACTCGAACCCAGGACCACATGTTTGCAACCGAGCTTGCTAACCAGTTACACTACACACAATTTATGTACGTTTTTTAATTTTTGTATCTAATTATTGTGTAACAGAATCATAACTGCAGAGAACTCTCTGTCTTCTGCAGATCAGTTTCAATGTTCTTCCTCCCTTGCATTCAACGACGGCTGGTTCTTCCCCTGCAAACCATTTAATTCCGAAATTACAGGAGAAGGGAACGATACAATGGCATCAAAACGGGTTCAATGAATGGATTTTTCCGTTCGGTTTCTCTTAATTGCGGCAAAAGGGGGAAGAACTGGACCATCGGAGTTTTCCGATCAGTTTCATAAACCACTATAAAATCCAACTAAGAACAAAAGGATTATGATTATGTAGTTTTCCCAATCTGAAAGTGTAAAGAAAACCATCGGAGTTGCGTTTCCCACCGCCTACCTTCACCGCCGATTGAGAATCTGGAACGACGCGAGGGAAGGGGAGGTCCTCCGGGCTCCGGCGATCTGCGCGCGGCTGCGGTTTGAGGACGGAAGGTAAGCAGTTCTAACTCTTCAAAACGACCACGTCTTTGCTTTTTTTTTTTTTTATTAACCTGCTTAATTAATTTTTCCTACTTAACTTTATTATTTTTTGCTGTCTAGAAGTTGTACGCAGAACTTACTTTTGTTTTTCCCAAACGGTAATATCTTTATTAATTTATTATTTTATTGGGTAAAGGAAGACAATTAATTTAGTATTTGTTTTAATGTGATTACATGGAATAAAGTGGAAGTAGTTAAGTTTCCTAGCTAGTTGTATATACATCAATTAAAATTATATTGAATGTAATTAAAAATTTGTTTCTTTGTTTTATATATGAAAGCTTAGTTAAGTAATTATATTGGATTATTTTTATTTCTACATCGAGAATTTAATTTTCCTGAATAATTAAGTTAGTTTTACTTTTTTGTAATATTGTCTAATAACGTAACATAAATTGTTTACCAAGTCTAATAACATAAATTTCCTACATATATCTATAGGCATGGAACCTATCGACAAAGCTTGGATACAATTGAAGAATCGGGCATGCACACAGTACATTGCGGGAGTGGAGAAATTCGCGAAGTATGCAACAGACCATGTTAAAGACGATGATGGTCTAATAAGGTGTCCTTGCGTGGAATGTGGTAATGTGCGTAGAATGACAGTGAACCAAGTAGAAGGACATCTTCTTTATAAAGGAATGAGAACCGACTACACCAAATGGATTTACCATGGCGAGGTCGACGAAGATGAAGAAGATGACGATGAAGGTCCAGAATTGGGTGATGATAACATTGAAATAGACAATGGAGATGATGGCGATATGGGTGAAGATAACGATATGGGCGAAGATGATATGCTTGGTGTTCTGAACGACCTCATGGCTCCATTAGCCAATCCGGAAGAACCTAATGCCCAAGCTCAAAATTTGTACAAACTTTTCGGAGAGGCCCAATCACCGTTGTACGAGGGATGTGCTTCGAATGTGTCAAGATTGTCATTCGTCACAAAGCTTATGAAAATCAAGTGGTCCTAATCTGGCATGCCGGATATTGAAGTCCTGGTTCTGGAAATTAAACACTCCTGCTGCAAACTTCTGTGAATCCTTAGAAACTTCAAACTCCTGACTCCTGGACTCTGTAAACAGGTAAAGACCTCTACTGACTTGGGCTAAACCAATCCTCCTCCGAGTAATAAGGTCCTGGATTAAACAGAAGTTTGATTTGAAGGTTAATGAAACTGGATGGTTTTGAGTTAACTTGCTTACAGAAACAAGATTGTAAGCAAAAGAAGGAACAAACAGAACTTGAGTAATGAATAACCCACAAGGCAAAGTAACAATTCCTATGTGAGTTGCTTGGACTTGCTGTCCATTTGGTAAATTCACAAACACTTGGTTCAAAGCTCTATGTTTCATAAAGAAACTCTTATCACATATAATGTGATCTGTTGCCCCTGTATCCAGGACCCAAACTGTACTACGAGGTGATTCAACCATAGTAGATAGAGCTTGTTTACCTGAAGAATTAGAGGCATAAGTTGCTGGAGCCTGAAAACCAGCAGATTTCTTCCCAGAGTGAGAAGCAGACTGTGAACCTCTTACTGCCACAGCAGCATGATGCATTCCAGGTGAATTTGGTGGTGAGGGTGATGCAGAAGGTGATCTGGTGAGCATGGTTCTGAGCTGCTCAAACTGATTAGGAGTAAGCAGACTCATTAAATCTGCTTCCCCCTTCCCTCCACTAGAGCCAGTTGTGTGAGTACCACCTGATTCAGATAGTGTAGTTTCAACTGATCCAGTAAAGGAACTTTCACCATCTTTGTTTTGTTTGTTTTTCAACTTATAACATTCATCGATGGTGTGATATTCCTTCTTACAAAACCTACAAAACTTCTTCCCATCCTTATAGTCTATGGGATTCCTTCCACCTTGTCCACCTTTCTGTTGTTTGTTAGGTTGCCCTGCCATCAAAGCCACTGATTCAACACGTCCCTTTTCTTTCTCAGAACTCATAGCCTTCATTTGCCTTTCCAATTGAACCATTTGCTTGAAAACTGACTCAATAGGAGGTAACTGAGCATTCATTAGAACTTGTGTTCTTGCTGTCTGGTAAGTGTCATTAAGTCCTTGCATAAACTTAATGATAAGATCATGCTCTTGATATCTCTGAACAGTGAAAAAGGGACTGTTTGGGCATGGGCAGCAAGAAATAGGCCTATACATCTTATACTCCTGCCACTTAGTAGTAAGTGCAGTGTAATATTGAGTAACTGTAAGGTTTCCTTGCACACATTTCCCAATCTGTTCATTCAACTCATAAACCCTCATATTGTCTGCTTGACTGAACCTATCCTTTAAGTTGTCCCATACATCTTTGGCAACTTTGTAAGGAACAACACTGTTAGCAATATCATCAGAAAGGGAATTATAGATCCAACAGCGCACTGTGCTATCACATCTATGCCATGACTGCCAAATAGGGTCTCCAATCTGAGGTACTGGAATCAACCCATTCACAAACTGCAGTTTGTTCTTAGTACTAAGAGCAAGCTCCATTACCTGACTCCAGAGATTGTAGTTCTGGTCAGTGAGCTTCATTGAAATGATGGTAGTCAAGCCGCCATCGTGAGGAGGTAAGTAGTAAGGGTTAAGATATGGATCTTCATAGCGAGGAACCACAGGAGGAACAAATTGATCCATCTGACGTCGAGAGTTGGCGCCTTGAGGAGTTCGTGGTAGAGTAGCGTCGTTTGCAGAAGCAATTTCGTCTTCAGTCTCCACTTCATCAGCCACAAACCCATCAACTTGAGCTTCTGGAATCGACATCAGTGAATCGTGAAAAGAGAAAGAAGTAGTGTAGAAACCTGGATCTGGGTTACCAGAGCCAACCAGGCTCTGATACCATGAGAAGAAAGGAAGAACAGCAGAGTATTTGCTAGGGTTTTTGGTGAAGGTTCTCAAAACTTGAGATCTTCATTTTCTGGATTTCTCATTATATACCCAACCACCTTTACAGAGGAAATGGAAACCAACGGCTAATCTACAGTATTAACTAACTAATCAAAAACAACCAACAAAGCAGAGACACGTGTCCATAAGACACAATTAAATTGCAAATCAACGAACTAAGAAGGACGACAACGTTTTAGCCATCTCTGTCTTCTATTGATGAAACGCCTTCGTTTTGCTCCAAAGCTGCTTTGCGGATTAGAGCAAAACGCCGCCGTTTCTTCTGGGCAAGTGATCCTCAGTTGCAAACGTCTCCAACTTGCAGCAGCAGCCTTCCTGCATTTCCACTTTGATTCAATCTTCAGCTGCTGCTGCTCATTCATCTATTATGCTAGCGTTCCTCTTCGGGTGCTCGTAGTACCTCAAAACCCCGTCGTAATCGAGGGTCACCCTGTGGTAAAAATCCTGGCTGGATCCTCCGTTGCTGAACACGTAATCGAGCACTGTCCCGTTGATGGAAGCCACGAACAGGAACCCGGACTGGTTGAACACCAGCCTGTAGCCCGACGGTATGGTGGACTGATTGCTCCAGTAAGCATACTCACTCGGCGTCCCGGGATGTTCGTCCCTCTGGTACATCACCAGATTCCCATCGAGTTGCATGATGAACTTGAATCGACCCTCGGAGTGGTTCGATCTCGAGTGGCTGGCTATCAGTCGAGATTCTCGCTCCATGATCTGGCTAGGCAAGAGAGTATCCGTCGGATCCTCGAAGCTCTCCCATAGACTAGACCCGTCGCTGGCTGCTAGTACGAAATTGCCTGTACGAGTGCGCAAGAGAGGAGTATAACTGTTAGTGAGTTGCATAAGATTCATTATAAAACATCTCTCAACAAATCGAGTTATTGAGATCAACTGGTTCTTAACATGGTATTAGATCTGGTTTGGCCAGTGGTGGTGTGTTCCGATCTCCACGACCCCCCAATATTAACAGTTGAATAAAAACATAGATACGATTGGCCTATGCAAATTTCAAACTCGTTTGTTGACTTTCGTTTGGGAGGGCGTGTAAGAGAGTGGTATAAGATCCAGCATAACCGTTTCTCAACAACTCGAGTTATTGGGATCAACTGGTTCTTGACAATAACATCAATCAGTAATAACCTTTCTTTCAACAAGAGAGTGGTATAAGATCCAACATAACCGTTTCTCAACAACTCGAGTTATTGGGATCAACTGGTTCTTGACAATATCAGTAATAACCCTTTTTTTTTCTACAACGTGTTATTGAGACCAGTTTGGTTTATGATATTATTATTACCTGTGTCGAGCATGGCTGCGTGGGAAGCTACGGGACCGTTGGTATTGGCGGCCCAGATTTGGTTGCCTGATGGGTCGGTGAAGACGAGGCGGCCTTGGGTCGTGAGCTCGACCCTCGAACCTCCGGGAGCCAGGTTGTTGCGGTTCGCGGACCAGACCACCGTTCTCTCGGGAATTTTGTCGAACACTATGGCTAGCAAGTAGCCGTCGGTGGTGATCCGTTGGAACCCGAACGCGAATTCGCCGGACGGGGATAGCCAGGGGGAGTTTGATCCGGTGGTGAGAGATGAACCCAGTGATACGTTGCGGTTGCTCTGTGAGGTGACGGTGAAGGGCAGGAGGAGGAGGAGGAGAAGAAGCGAGAGTGAGAAGAAGCATAGTTTGGAGTGTTGGAAGGGCGCCATGAATGGAAGTTTTGGAGAGAAAGCTTGATAGGGAATTATGTGTGTTGGTGGGAATTGTTTGCTGAGTGTCTCCTCCTGCGGTGATGTACTTATAAGTAAAGTGACAACCTAGCAGCTAGAAGACGAAATTAGAAATTCCATGAGTAGTCAACTTCCATTGAGAGAAAAATCAACACGTTCTCATTATTTACTTGGTTGATTTTTAGATTATAATCAAGGGATTCCTACGTCTGCAAGTTGCTATAGTTATCGTGACTTGAGTGTTTGACCTGCTATAACATGTTTTTCAAGAACTGTTACGTAATATAGCAGGCCATATTATGCAGTTTTTACGTAATTCATGTTTCTTTACGTAATAACTGTGGAACGGTGTTACGTATATCTTATGATGATATATGATATTGTTATGCAATGAATATTCACGCCGAGTTACGTAAGGTGTAAATTTATTATGTAAGTCTTATGTTGATATTGCAGGGGAAATGTTGGCTACACCACAAGATTTCAGATTTATCGTCATTTATTTTTAAGTTGATTATTGAAGTGTCAGCAGTTACGAATGGATTGTCACTAGCATTGCAAAGGAAAGAGCAAGACATTGTAAATGCTATGAGATTTGTCCGTGCGGGAAATGCTAGATTAAAAGAGATGAGAGATCGATGATGTGAGTCTCTAATTGAGGATGTCATCTCGTCTTGCAGTAAGGAACCTGTTCACATTCTTAGTATGGATGGTGAGTATGTTCTTCCATGACGGTCATCAAGACGCAATGCTCTACAGATCACAAACCTGCATCACTATCGGGTTGAATTGTTTTGCATGGTTCTTGATATGCATGTTGCCAGAGTTGAACAATCGCTTTAATGAGGTGAATACCGGATTGTTGACTTGCATTATTTGTTTTAGCCCGGAGAATGAGTTTGATTATTTTGACGATAAGAAGATGGTAAACATTACTCGATTTTAACTGGACTATGAGAATTATTATTAGTGTGATATGATGAGTTATTTTGCGGATTAAAAGGAATTGATGAATTAACTCAGTTGATCTATCATTTCCATGAGTCCACTTGCTACTTAAACTTGCATGTATTGATTTTACTGGTTGCAACTGCAAGTGTTGAAAGAGTTTTTTCAATTTTGGGTTACATAAAAAACAAATTTTAGAATCGAAGAGGCGATCAGTTCTTGAATGATTGCCTAGTAAGTAGGATATGTTGAAAGAGATTTGTTGAGCACTCTAGACATTGAATATATTTTATAATTTTTTCATAATATGAAAATACGTCGTCGTACTTTATAATAACTTGTACTAATCGAATATTTTCTTTAATAAAATCATTTTAATTTAATTTATAGAAGATAAAACTTCTAAATAAAATTTATAAGTCCGGGCTGATGCTACCGTACATTTTGGATGACAATAAATTTAACGAAAAAGTTAACAAAGAAGTAAGAACTATCACTGTCTAACATTCAAGGTATATGCATGGTCTTGTTAATTGCTCCAACAGATTTAACGAAAAAGTTAACTAAGAAGTAAGAACTATCGCTGTCCAACACTCTAGAAGATTGGACTATTCCAAGCGACCTCAACAATATGGTACGGTAGACGACAAACTGTTTACTTGGAGCCGTGAAGACCGACTTACGTTGACTATGGTGCTTTTCAGACACTTTCTTTCTTCGGAAATCAAGAATGACTCGGAAGTATTGGGTTCTACTTTCTTTAGGTGCTTTCGTTGCAGTTTCAACATCGTAAAAGCAAACGCGGCCACAAATTTGACATTTTTTCTTTGGCCAAGTCTTCTCTACCATGGAATATTCAGGCTACGCACAAGAGATCAAACACACATGTACCAACGGTTCAGGGAGCATGGCGACGTGAACTGAAGTACCCGAATCGGGTGCCTCAATACGTTCCATGATAGATTGGGTCCATATTATATATTGTTATTTAAGACACGGATCTTAACAGGTTGACCCAAGAGACCAAACCTACCTACATTGTCAAAGACTCATGGAGCATGCCTCCATGGCAAGAAGATGCCTCGAAAAATCTCGATGTTTGCCACATTGCGCCTGCACTCGTGGAGAAAGGTCGATAGTCGTACAACCACGCCGAAACCCGAGCTTCAAGTCAGGTGCAAACCTACAAGAAATTGTCTGAGCTTGTCATCTCATTATGTCTCTGGGAGCGCGCAAACTCGATCTTCGCAAGTCAAAATTTTATCTCTTGATTAAAAATCATTTAAACGGCTCGATCTCGATATATACTCTTTATTTTATACCCATCCACATTACCAAAAACTATGTACGTGTATAAACTTCTATTTTGATAATAGATCACTCATGTTATCACGATAACCAACCAGATATTCGCGTACATGAGTACATCCTTTGCTTTGTTTCTTTTTTTTTTTTTTTCCGTATCATTAAAAAGAATTACGTTTTTGTTGGATGTATCAATAAGAAAGATTAGGTTGATGGGTTGTGGTTTGATTTTTTTTTAAATGGGCACCTTTGAACAGTATAATTATTTGGTCGTATTAATGCCCAATCCTGGGTTCCCTGACGGGACACGTAAGTACGTAACTAGTATTTACGTTCGTGCATGATACCATGCATTCATGCACGTAAGACAAACTACTGCTCCGTAAAATGTTTACTTGTTTTATGAGCCATTACTCAAGAGCCCAATCCGAAAGGACCCAAGCAGCTAGGGATGGCAATGGTAGGGTCGGGTGCGGGTTTACCCTATACCAACTCCTAACTCGCCGGGTAGAGCTTTCTAAAATACCCGACCAAATAATCACCGGGTATGAAAATTATATAACCATACCCTACCTACCGGGTAACCACGGGTATTCGGGTAATCATGGGTACGAATCCTAAACTATGAACTTATACACATATATGCACATACATACTGTTGTCCATTAAAAATTCTCAATACTTCTTTATAAAAAAAAATTCTCAATACTTGTAACTGTTCGAGCTTCAACAATCCACAAATAAAAATAGCAAACACATAATAATTGTTCGGTTTAATTCACCCGCATAGCCATAACTTTCACGGTTTTGACAAATATAGCCACTTTTTGAAAAATACACAGTTGTAGCCACATTTTGGAAACTCATTTGACAAAATTAGCCATTTCCATTTAAAACTTTAACACCGTTAGTAAGACGCTGATGTGGATGCCACTTCACCTACCACATCAGCTCCAACACATGTCCAACTAGACTCGCCATGCCAACTGGGCGCCACGTCAAATTAAAGTTTTTATTTTTAGAAAACAATATTATTATTATTATCTTTCTCTTTCTCTTTTGTACTCCACACCATCCGCTTCATCTCCCTCTCCAAAGCTTGGATTTCCTCCTCCGCCGTTGCCGTTGCCGCCTCCGGAATCTGGGTTTTCCCTGCTGCTGCTGACATCGGGTTCTTCTACCAGACCGTGGAGTTGTTGCTGCTGCGGGTCGGGTCTGCGGGTCGGAGCGGCGGATCTGAGGCGGTCCATGAGTCCCATGGCGGATTCTTGTGGCGCTGTCGCATTCCCAGCCCACCAAGGATGTGGCTGCGGAGGGAGTTGGGGCTTTCCTTGGTGATGACTATCGGCGGCTTCGGCTTGTTCTTCGATCCCGCCGGCCTCCCCCTCGGCCTCCGAATCGACGTCGTCCCGCTCGCAACTCCAACTCTGAAAATCATCTTATGGCGGAGACTTTAGAGATTCGACAATGGCGGTGAGAAACAGATACACAAACTCGTCGATATCAACATAATGAACAAAGCCTGGCAAAGAAACGATGGCGATTAGGGTTCTTCAATTTCTGGATCTGGAATTTTTCAAAGGGAAAGTTCAATGGCGATTAGGGTTCTTCAATCTCTCGGTCTGGTATTTTCGCCGACGAGATGTAAGAGGTGAGGGGAGGCCAGATCAAGCAAGAGGAGTAGAGAAGAGGAGGAATCGCCGTCAGTAGCCTGTTGCCCACCGTCGTCGCTTTGTACTTCTCATAGATCGACGAACTTTTTCAGCTCCGTACCACCACCGCCACCTCTCTTCTCCTTCTTCTCCGATGGGTCGTTGAGAAATGCATTTTCTTGTTCGTTGGGCTGATGGGAAAGAGCTTGTGGGTGCAGCGACGGAGGATTGGCGGTGGCGAGAAGAAGAAGAAGAGGAAGGGAAGGATAAAACATAAATTATAGGGTTTTCAGTTAATTAAAAGAAAAGGATAATTTTTATTGGCATTTTCTTTTATTATTTATTGTTTAGTTAATTAAAAAAACATGCCACGTCAATCACTACCGTTAGTCCAGTCAGCATTTGCAATTAGTCCGTTAAAGTTTTTGACGGAATGGCTATTTTAGTGTATTTTTCAAAAAGTGGCTATATTTGTCAAATCCGTGAAAGTTATGGCTATGCCGGTGAATTAAACCTAATTGTTCTTACTTCTACAATCCACACAAACATAATAATCGTCTACATCTTCATCATCAATAATGGTAGCTAAACTCAATTTCTCAAGCTAATCTAAATTTCTCAAGGGAAATTGACCCTTTGGTTAGCGGGGCGGGTATAACGGAGCGGGTATTATCGATTACCATACCCGTACCCTAACCTTTATTTTGAAATCGGGTATTACCCATACCCGCCCCTTAACCCGTCAAAGCGAGTAATTACCCTAGTTGACCGGTTACGGTCGGGTAGGGTACCCATGATTACGGGTTGGATTGACATCCCTACAAGCAGCTCACCCTTTTTCTAAGGGTCTCATTCTCACAGGTCCAATAGTCTCGAAACCGGCCCGGTCTCTGTCGTAGGCCCAAGAAAAAGTAGTCAGGGCTCATGAACGGATTTCCATTCCAAATGACAAGTGAAAAAAAAAGCAGAGTCTTATAAAAAAAAAGTAATCAATCAATAGAAGATTACAAAACGTTGAAAAGTAAATAATGGTAGTCAATTTAGCGTTGATTTACTAATGCAAGGTTTAGGAAATCCTATCGTACGTTTGTACTGGCTGGTTGGAACGAAAATATCGGATACTGGACATAGAACTATAGACGGTTTTAGCGATATGAAACAGTTCAATCACGGTTAAGTCATTGATTTAGTACAAAATACCTTGCCATTCACCTTTCTGATATAACCTCCGATACCGTTTCCTAAATCTTGGGGGAAACCACTTAAAGGTTAGGGATAAAAAAAGAAGAGAGTTGTAGTTTGGGATTTACAAAAAGATTGAGAACGTAATTGAAACAAAAAAAGACAATAACCTATTATTTGATGAATACCACCCCTCTCCTACTATTTGTCAATTAACAAGTTTGTGATATTTTCAAAATAACAAATATTATACTTTTTCCAATCAAATGTACTATTTGGAACTAAATATGAAATTTGATTCTAGATACCACATCCAAATGACTATATAACCAGTACATTCATAATTTCAACGAGTTCACACAAATTTAGACAAGAAAACATCATGATGATATGCAATGACTACTTTATCGTTTATATTCCAAATTCTAATAATTAACTAGTTGGACAAATATCAGACTTCAGTGACCAATTTACCAAAGATTTCAAAGTCGTCCACTCACCACCGTTTACTTTGAATAGTTATTCGAGACGAGGAAGAAAGAACGTATCATAAACGTCTGTTACGCATAGCCAAAGCAGCTGGTTTCCATTTATTCGTTCCCACATGCACGTAACAATACCACCAACCTTCACCGCAACGAAAAAAAAACTTCGCATCAATGGCGCCCGTCCAATTCCAATCCAAACTTTACCTCTCACTATCACTTCTCCTCTTCCTTCCCTCCACCGTCACCTCACAGAGCTACCGCAACGTACCGCTGGGTTCATCCCTCACCACCGAATCAAACTCTAGCTGGCTGTCCCCGTCCGGCGAATTCGCGTTCGGGTTCCAACAGATCGCCCCCGACGGCGGCTACTTGCTCGCCATAGTGTTCGACGAAATTCCCGAGAGAACCGTCGCCTGGTCCGCCAACCGCAACAACTTGGTCCCCCGCGGGTCCAAGCTCGAGCTCACTACCTCCGGCCGCTTGGTCCTCACCGACCCATCTGGCCGCCATGTCTGGTCTCCCAACTCCGATCCGGCTTCCCACGCTGCCATGCTGGACACGGGCAACTTCGTGCTGGCGGCCAACGATTCCTCGACTCTGTGGGAGAGCTTCCAGGAACCGGCTGATACTCTGCTGCCCACCCAGACCCTGGAGCAAGGTTCCCAGCTCATAGCCAAATACTCGAAATCGAATCACTCCCAGGGTAGATTCAAGTTCATCCTGCGACGCGACAGGAATCTGTTCCTGCACGCCACGCATTATCCTGAAATGCGCGCCGGCATTTCGTACTGGCCACCTGCAGCAGGTGGCCAGTACTACTACACCGGGGACAGAGTGGTGTTCAACCAGTCGTCTCTGTCCCTGGACCTGATCTTGAACAACGGGACGGTGGTTTTTCCCGTGTTCAACAACAACAGAGGGTCGTCTAGCCGAGATTTTTATCACAGGGTGACCCTCGATTACGACGGGGTTTTGAGGTACTACGAGTACCCAAAGAGCAACGGGAAAAATTCTAATAAGGTTTGGAGCAGCGTATATTTCAAACCGCCGAATATTTGCACCGCGGTCACTGGAGACATGGGAAGTGGAGCTTGCGGGTACAACAGTTACTGCGAATTGGTGAACGATCAAAATCCCAAATGCAGTTGCCCTCCGGGTTACGTTCTCAAGGACTCATATGATGAGAGCAAAGGGTGCATTCCCGATTTCGCCCCGCAGGACTGCCGTCTCCAGGAGGGAAATAGCGATGCATTTGAACTCGTGGACATGCCCGCAGTGGATTGGCCACTCCACGACTACGAATCTTTCGAGTTCTACACGGAGGATATGTGTCGACAGTCTTGTTTGAGTGACTGTCAATGTGCTCTGGTCGTCTACGGAAAAGTTTTGCTGGAAGAAGAAAAGTCCTTTGTCGAATGGAAGAGTAGCATACGACAAGACCGAGAAATCGTTAGTCAAAGTGAGGAGATCTAATTCCACCACCTCCTCGCCTCATGTCGAGAAGAAAAGGAAAGGTTTGGTCATTATTATTATCGGGTCGGCGCTTTTGGCCAGTTCAGCCTTTGTCATCCTCCTATCGGCCATTTTCCTTTCCATGAAGAAGAAGAATCAAGATAGCGCCACCAGCAGAGCTTTTCTTGATAGGCAGAATGATTTGTTGTCTAGAAACCTTCGGAGCTTTGCATACTGTGAGCTAGAACTCGCAACGGAAAGGTTCAAGGAAGTGCTGGGAAGTGGTGCCTCTGGGACAGCCCGCTGATCTCCTCACCAAGGGCCTCGGTCTCGACCAGTTTCGTCATCTCCTTTCCAAGCTCGGCATGCTCGATATCCACGCCTTCGCTTGAGGGGGAGTATTACGTGTACGCGGGTGTGACGTCTATCCGCTCACGTGCCGTAGCTCATTCCAGCTCATTCTTGGTGTCCAAGTAATTAGAGAGTTACTTTCCTTGTCAAAATGTAACTCTTCCTCCTAGTTTATTCTGTCGATCACAGAGAGCATCCCTCTCTATATATTGCTTGCGGGTAAACATTGTAAAGCAAGCTTCTATTCGATCAATCAATGAAAACGGACTAAGAGCCCTAAGCTCTTCGTGGACTAGTCCTACTCAAATCGAGTAGGGAAACCACGTAAAATCTCGTGTGTTTTTACTTCCGCATCCTATTATTTTACAGGGATTGTGTACAGAGGGGTTCTTGCGAACAATCAGCGGCTCGTTGCGGTGAAAAGGTTGGATAACACGGTGAGCGAGATCAAGGACCAGGAGTTTGAAACCGAGGTGAGAGTAATCGGCGGAACTAACCATAAGAACCTGGTGAAGCTCGTGGGCTTCTGCAACGAAGGGTTGCACCGAGTTCTGGTTTACGAGTTCATGAGCAACGGGTCGTTGGCGGGTTTGTTGTTTGGAGAAGGTCGTTCGAGGCCCAATTGGTACACGAGAATGGAGATAGCATGTGCGGTCGCCAGAGGAATGGTTTACCTTCACGAAGAATGCAGCACCCAGATCATCCATTGTGACATCAAGCCACAAAACGTTCTGCTGGATGAGTCAATGATGGCCAAGATCTCCGATTTTGGGATCGCCAAACTTTTGAAGGCAAATCAGACTCGGACCGTGACTAGGATCAGGGGGACCAGAGGGTACGTGGCTCCCGAATGGTTCAGAAACATGTCCATCACGACTAAGGTTGATGTGTACAGCTTTGGCGTTCTACTTCTGGAGCTGGTTTGCTGCAGAAGTAAGTTGGTGACGGAAGCGGCAAATGAAGTGGAGGTTTTTCTCGCTAATTGGGCGTACGAGTGCTACAGTGGCGGACAATTGAGAAAGTTGGTGGAGAATGACGACGAGGCGATGAATGATGTGGAGAATGTTGAGAGGTTTGTGAAGGTCGCGTTGTGGTGCATTCAGGACGATCCATGCTTGAGGCCTGCAATGAAGAAAGTTGTTCATATGTTGGAAGGATCGGTTCATGTTCCTACTCCTCTAGATCCTGAATCCTTCATCAGCAATATCTGAATAATAATATAATAGTTTTACAAGGGGAAGCTCATATGTTTCATTGGCTAAGTAGTGAGTCTTCATCAAAGAGGTCGATGGCTCAAATTCCAACCCAATCGTCGACTACAACAAATATAATAGTTTCATATTGCTTGCTAAAATTGTCCACAAAATCATTTATTTATGTAACTTTATCAAAGAGTTCAATGTTTCAATTCCCATTAATGGTCCTTATAAAAGAATATAATGATTTCACATCGCTTGCTAGAATCGTCAACAAAATCTTTTACTACCTGTTAACTTTAAATTATGCGTTTATATCATTCATTGGGTGATCACTTTTATCCTCATTCATTTAATTTGTATCTCTAGCATTTATGAAGAAAGTTAAGGATAATGACAGGTGGAAATTATACGTAACATGAAAAGTCAATGACGATAATTAAAGACAATATATGTATTAATGTTAATTCGACAACGCATACGTATTAATTTGTTATTTCATTTATCATGGTGAATGTGATATATATATTGCATATCACTACACAGGGAGTCCGATCGAGGAGTTTAATCTTTCAGGTCAGTGAAGCTTATAGGAGTCCAGTATCTAGGGTTTCGGCCAAAACACGCGGCAACCTGCAGCCTGGAGCCCTCACTCGTGAGCAAGAACTGGTTCCAGAAGAAATACTCATCACGATTCCCGCAGAGAGTCGAAGTTGGCCTGCACGGTGTGCTCCCGTTTCCACAGCATGCAGCTCTTACCTCCGTCAAACCTGCAAAACAAAGCATGCAGCAGTGGGAAATGGTGTAGTCTGGTCCAGACCGTACTATACAAAAATGTCCACTAGATCGAGGAGCTGAAGTATAGATCAGGGACACAAACCAAATATTAGATCGTACGTGTCTTGTCTCCGGTCGGGCGTATGGTTTTTCAAATGATCTGGTCTATATTTTCTCAACCCTAGCTACTATCGCTAATTAACCCTAATGGATAAGAGTGCGTCGGTCATCACTTACCACATCCTGGGTAACTGGGTGCATTCGCGATGACATCAAAATCGAAGTTGGGAGAATTGCAGATGGAATACCGGAAATCGGGATGTGTAAGGCGTAGCACTCCCAGAGCCGAAGCAAGGAGTTTGTAGACGCCGAGCGACAGCAAGTTGGCTCTGGCGTCGCACTCGCCGCCGCTGTTCTCCATCTCGTAATAAAGAGGACTGCATCCAATTAGCGGTGGCGCCACGATCCCGAACACTCGACCTCCAAGTGCATACAGAGTCTGCCAAACAATGACTAACCATTACTTAAGTATCATTAAAACTGTGAATATTTGGCAAAATTTCGGTGGCACCTAAAGAGCCACAGCATCTAACTCAGTCATTTTTCGGTTCACTTTATTCAGGTGTTTATTCATGTAATAGTGGTTAGTAGGTGGGCAAGTGGGTGGTTAATCCGCGGATTGACATCGATCCACCCGCAAATAACCCGACCCGTACGCAATGGGTGATTGATGTGAGTGGATTGCGAATTGTAAAATCTCTCACCCGCACTTATGTGGGTGGATTGCGGGTCACCTGTATGACCCGCGTCCTATTTTTACATGGAAAAATGTTGTTTCTTATAGTATCGAATATTTATCATATTTTCGAACTGCACTATAGTCTGACCATATACTTCAAAAAGTGGAGAATAAAGAATAGTTTTGACTACTATTATTGGTTATTGTGTTGTGCAATATCCATTGGCAATGGATATTGGTATGCAAATTATTGTTAATATTCATTAAATATTGGGATACAAACTACAAATTATTAATTGTATCAAAATCACAAATTCTTGATACAAAATAATCTTACTAATTTGCTATGAACTTATTATAAAGGTTAGTCAATTTTTTTAATGGCTAGTTGGAGAATTCAACCCAACTGCACCCATCCGTCACCCAACCAACCCAACCCGCATAAGTATGTGGGTGGATTGCGGGTCACATATATTCCAACCCACTAGTAAGCGGGTGGGTCAATTTTAAATCAAAATCCACCCAACCCGCCCATTGCCCCGCCTAGTGGTTCGTTATATACCCGAATGTAATCAACGTATTGGGCTGTGAACAATTGCAGGAAGCGGAGGTCGGAGCTGGGAGGGGCATTCGTTCGTTGCTCGGCTATGTCAACGCTCCCGGTGGCCAACAAGAAGAAGGACTGGGCCAGGAAATTTCCGGCGGCTACTCGGCCCAGTAAAGCTATCAGCCTGGGCCTGACTACTCCCGCGAACTGATCGATCTGCTGCCCCACAGTCACCCGGGCCTGCATGCAATATACGTGAAACATTTTCATATATCAACGTTAATTATATTACTCAAGTATATATGTACCGTCTTTTTTGACAATAAGGAACCTTTTATTCCATCCGAAACCGGAAAAATGATGGTCACATGTCACCGCCTTATTCACTCTTTTTGTAATTTATTCATTTCAAATTTGTGTTATTCACACTATGTTGGCGTTATTCACGTACGAGTATTGATTATTTACGCAACCAAGATTGTTTAGTCACGTAACTTGGTGTTTATTCATGTATATTGTTATTTATTCACGTCATTGTAAAATTAAATTTTAAGACTTTGAAATATATCAAAATCGATGTCATTATGTAGACTATATATGATCAATGCAACACATTTTTAAGGATTAATTGAGAATGTTAATTCCATAAAATATAGCCAATATAAATTATTAGTGGGAAAAAATCTGAATTTTTATTTACATGAATAAGTACCAAATAGCGTGAATGAGTACAAAAATACGTGAATAAATTGGCATCAGGTGGTTTGCCACCCAACGCGCGACAGGAGATTTTTTTTTTCCATGTACATGCATACTTGGGCAAGTGGACCACTCTGGCCGGTGGAGTTGAAAATGCCAGACGTTGTGGAACCGAAGTTGACGCCCTGGCTCGTTATGACCCGGTCGAAAACGTCGGAGGAGTTCACGACGGCGAGGAACGGCGGCGGGCTTTCGTCGTAACCCAGCGCCATTGCTGTCCAGTTGATGATCAAGATCGAGTTACATAACTAAGTTTGACATCAAATGTACGTAGAAGAGTGGAAAATAATGCACAGTTAATCACTCAATAAATCATTACCCACAAAGTCGGCCACAACATAGCAGTTGCTTAACCTGCCGGAAGGCACAGGAGGGTCGCAATCGATCCCGTTGAACGGCCCGTTTCCCGGCGTAGAGGAATTCAAGATTGCGTTGGTGCCAACGTCGATTAAGCTGGACCCGATCGCGAAAATAGCCGGAGGGGTCCTACTACTGCGAGCCGAACGGTAATGATCAGGATTTGATAGACATTGAAGAGGCTGGAATATCAGAATCACGATGGAGAAGTTATAAAGGAAAAAAGCCGACGACGAAACTACATCTTTGGTGGCCATTAATCCCGACGACTGTTGCCCTGTGCATGGCTCTGATTCTGTTTATGTATGTATGTATATATGTGGCGCGCGCCGCTTGCTAGCTAGTTAGTCTCCATCGTCATTCTTCAAGTTGAGAGAAGCTAACACGTTTAGGTTGATTCATTATTGGTGCAAAATGATTCTGATTTCTGACGGATGAACTGAAATTTAAATATCAACTGATGGTGATCAAGTGGTAATAACGTACGTGAGGGTTTGGTTTGATGGCAATGGCAATGGCGATTGCATTATTGTTATTGTTAAAGGGTTGGATTCAGTGACTAGGGTGGTAGGTATCGTGTTATTTTACCAATAAATTGTTACTGTAATATGAATATCATATTTACTGCCATGACGGGACGTATTGCTGACTATATGAATTGGCTTAGTTGTAATATCACTAGTATTGAATTTCAAAATTTCAGGTTTGAATTTCTTAAATAACATCTAACCACAAAAAGTAAACCTATAAAATCTAAAAGGCGATATTAATTCTTCTAGGTAGTAATTGATTTTTTATAATTATGATTTTGCTTTTATGATCGAGTTCAGACTTTAGTTGATTATCACTAGATCAGCTAGGGGTGGCAGTATAATCCGACTTTGTGGGTATTTAAATCCAACCCAATTCAATTAAATTGGGTAAATATCGTCATTGATAGATTTGAGATCTGGTTATTTATTACGTATTTGGGCATATTCATTCATATAATAAAACTATAGGCCATAGTCTTTATATAATAAAAAAAGAAACTACAAGTTTGATCAAGAGCACATTGGTTAAAAAGCGCTTAACTCATGCTAAAGCGCTAGATAACACCAAAACGTCTCGTTTAGTGATTTTACAGTAAGGTAGACATGAAAAAAACACATCAACTAGGTAAGGCGCAAGTCCTTTAAGCATAATTAAAGGAAGTTAGATAGTCAATATCAAAGTAGAAAATCAACATCATCTATATCAGTCTTTTCAATCGTCCCCTCCCGAAAAGAAGAAAGTGAAACTTTTTTCCTTTCCGCAAGGATCAAGAGATTGGATCTAGCCGTAATAAGAATGTTTGGCTGATAAATAACTCACTTCTTATACTTCGACCCCTTCAGGCGCTACAAAAAAGTCCCCCAATTACCATGCAATGAGATCTATCTTGTGTCTATAACTCAAGAACTTTATGAGTTATACAGCTATGATTATATATATATGTAGGGTTGGCTATTTGGTCCGGGTTTTTTGGTTTTACCCGAAAACCGGACCGTATAACCCGGACCGGGACCGGATAGTAAACAATCCAATCCAATTTTTGGGCTTAGATTTGAGGTAACAAACCGTTCGGGACCGGATTGAAAACTGGATAAAGACCGGATAAGAGATCTCAACACCCAAAACTTAAGGGTAACGATATAATCATTTTACGATCTATATGCATCGGTCTCTCATCCACATCCCTATTCGTCCAGATCCTGAATTCTATCTAGGTGCCATTTGAATCGACTGGAGCATATAGTCTCAGAAACTTCATTGAATGTTTCGCGTAATTTGTACTCATTTTAAATCTTAGTATAATGTTTTTTCTTTACCGATAATGATATTGGTTTAAGGTTTGAAACCGACGTTTCGTTATTAGTGATGAAATCATCTATAGATAAACCTCTTCTTGGAACTGTGAATAAAGTGTTGAGAATTGAGATACCTTGAAAGTTGAAACAACATCTTTGCGTAACTTGTGTAGTGTTGGTATTCTTCCTCGCCTTCTTGTAACCAATTTGGTATTCTTCCTCCTTTTTCTTTTTGTATATAATAAAATCCATCCCCCTTCCTTATAAATAAATAAATAACTCTTCCTCTTTTGCTCTTGGTGCATTAGATTCCAGAAAGATTGGAGACCAAGCAAATGAAGGTATTAATATCAAAAAGAAAGAAAAAGCTGCTGGCCGGAGCACTAATCTGGCTCCACTAACAGAGATTAATTAAGATTTCATGAGAAGACAAACGTGAGGAATCTTATACTTAACCATCACGCAATGAAGAACTGACTGGTGGAAGCCTGGAAGGTGGGTTCTCACTTCTCATCTTCCTTCCACAGGTATTCGTCACATGGAGATATCAATGAATTTCCTATTAGGTGCTCAATGGATTAGAGTATATGTATGAGGGATGATATTTGGAACACATGTCTCTTAAAAATGCATGGAATGTTGTGTGTATTTTTTTTTAATCATTCAAAATTCCAAATAGCACAGGAACAATAAATGTATGTATTGTGTTTTTACATGAGAAATGGGTGATATATTATCAACGTTGCATGAATTTGTTAAACACGCTACACGCATGTTTGATCCGACAAAGTTTGAGAAAATATGATTGCGTGTGAAGCAAAAGAGGAAAGAACCCTGGTTCACGATTTCGATAGTACAACGAGCTTCTAACCAATGATTATTCGCCCAAATTTATCAATACCATACTCGTATCATGAGAATAAAATAGTTTTTTTTTTGTCACATATTACCTTGCGGATAAGTCAAATAAGAGCAATGAGTGCTCCAAGAACTACGACAATCTCGCATACTTAATAGACAGGTGAAGACATGGACAAATTAAAAACGGTAAGACCAGAACAGCGCAAACATTATCGTGTCACCAAATGAGCAATCCAACTCGTATCTCGAAATATAAATGCAAAGGGAGCTAGAGTTCACTCAAATGCAGGCCCTGAGCCATCGTCGCCGGCGATAACCACAGTCCGGCCAGTGGGGTCCCTTCCGTCAACAACAATGCGAAGCTAAGGTTTTTAAATTCCATAATTATAAGAACCGCGTAGCTAATCAACTTTTTCAAACATGTCTTTAAGCAATTTGGGAAGCTTTGACGCTTTTTCATGTGGCCGAACGCCATCTTTATAGAGCTCCAAATACTATATTCCTGAAGATGGACAACGAGAATCACACGTTGTTGATTCTCCAAACTCCACCCGCTCTCCATATAAATGGTGATCAGATCAGTAAACCCAATCAGGATCTTCATCATCACCACAATCCCCACCAAAATCCAATTCACCAGAGATTAAAAACAAAACCAGTAAAAAAGATGCCCTCTCTGTCAATGGGAGGCCTCCAGCTACCAACAATGTCGTCCCTGCTCTCCCTCTACGCCTCCCTCTCCGCCGTCATCATGATCGTCCGCACGATCCTCAACGACATGATCCCCGAATCGATTCGAGACTTCATCTCCCGGAAAGCCTCCGACTTCTTCTCTTCCTATTTCTCCAGAGACTTCACATTTCTGATCGAGGACCACTGGGAAGCAGTCGAGAACGAGACCTTCCGCGCAGTGCAAGCTTACCTCCCGACCAAGGTCGGGCCCGATACGAGCTGCCTCCTCCTCGGCCACAACGACAACAACAACCTCCTCGCGGCGGCTCAGCCGGGAGTCTCCGTCTACACCCGAATCGTCGATCACTTCGAAGGTATGAAGCTCGAGTGGACGCTGAACGAGAAGGAGGAGAAGAACAACTCGTCGTACTATACTCCGAAAAACCAATGGTTCCAGCTCCGGTGCAGGAGGATCGATAAGGAGAGAGTGATGGACAGCTACATCCCCCACATTTGCAGGACTGCTGAGAAGATCTTCTACGATCGGGAGATTCTCAGCATCTACACCTACAATCAGGAGGAGTCCAATTGGGAATCCACCGTTTTCAAGCACCCGGCAACATTCGAGACTCTGGCTATGGAGCCAGAGCAGAAACAGGGGATTATTGATGATCTCGATCTCTTCGTCCGGCGGAAGGAATACTTCCGGACCGTGGGGAGAGCGTGGAAGAGAGGTTACCTCCTTTGGGGGCCGCCGGGGACTGGGAAATCAACCCTTGTGGCGGCGATCGCAAATCACCTCAGGTTCCACATCTACGATCTTCAGCTTCAGGGTGTTCGCAGTGACTTCGAGCTTCGTAAAGTCCTCACCGCCACCACCAATCGCTCCATTCTACTCATTGAGGATGTGGATTGCAGCTCCAAATCCACGGAACCTCGTTCTACCGATGAAATTACGAATGATGATGAGAATCAACCTGATGATAAGAAGCGCTCTTCTGATAAAGGGGTAAATAAACAGAGCAACTCTGTTTCTTAATTACTCTGTTTTTTCCCCTGTTTTTCTCTGTTTAAAATTAAACAGAGCAACTCTGTTTCTTGATTACTCTGTTTTCCCCCTCCCTGTTTTTCTCTGTTTAAAATCGACTATTTTATTCTGGCAGGTGACGCTATCTGGGTTGCTGAATTTCATCGACGGGTTGTGGTCGAGCTGCGGGGATGAGAGGATAATCATCTTCACGACGAACCACAAGGAGAAGTTGGATCCGGCACTGCTCCGGCCGGGAAGAATGGATGTTCATGTCTACATGGGTCATTGCACAGCTGCAGGGTTCAAGTTGCTGGCTGGAAAATACCTGGGGATTCAGGATCATGAGCTTTTCAAGAGAATTGAGGATTTGATGCGCAAGTTTCCGGCTACTCCGGCCGAAGTTGCGCAGCAGCTCATGATATCCGGCAAACCGGAGGTTGCTCTGGACGGGCTGGTCGAGTTCTTGAAGGGAAAGGACGTGGATCGGATCGAGAAAATCGAAGGGGAAGAAGAGTCGAAGAGCAAGAATTTATGGTGTCTCATGAGGAAATGGAAGAACAAGAAGAAGAAGAAAAAGACGCCATTGGCAGCAGAAGAATAAGAAATTGAGAATCATTTTCAGTAGAAAGATTAGATCAGTTGCTTGTGTTTGTTCTCTTTGTTAATCTGTTTCTTGTTTGGTTCTCCATTGTAGCTTATAAGCCAATGTAATATATTAGATTGTACGACTAGCTTTTGACCAGGTCGATTGGCTTGAAGACCAAAACAATTTGTGTGTTTAAAAACTAATTAATAAAAGTACTAATTTCTCCATATCATAAACAACAATTCAAAGTCGTACGTAAAGAGAGACGAGGGTTTGGGGGAGGAAGTGAAGAAACTGCTGGATGACATTCAGCAGAGCATGTTTGATGCTGCTAAGAAGAAGAGAGACGCTTGTGTTCAGGTCGTCAAGACGTGGGACGAATTCAAAGCTGCACTTGCCCAGAAGAAGATGATATTAGCTCCTTGGTGCGACGAGGAGTTGCGTATACGAACAGCGACGACATCGACACTTCTATCCATCAACGAAACAAAGAAAGCCTTACATAATAATCTTTTTGTTTATGATCTTCAGGAAGTGGAGAAAGAGGTCAAAGAGCGGATAAAGATTAAAGAGTGAAGAGGAAGGAACTGTCAAGAGCCTTTGCACTCCATTTGAGCAGCCAGAACTCCATGAAGGTTAGGAACTGCAATTAATTACTAGCAGCATTACTAATTATGAAGCAATTAACACCAACATTTACCCCTCTGTAATTATGATTTTTGTTTGAAATTATTGGATGCAGGGACTCTATGCTTTGCCACAGGGAAGCCGGCGAAGAAGTGGACTTACTGGGGCAGGAGTTTCTAGCTCTAACTAGGCGTCTCTTTACTTTAACTGTTAATTAGCAGCAGTTGTTTGAAGTTGCAATTACTGTTTAATTATTTGTATGTTTAACTCTTGCACCCAACCCAGTTAATGGTTGGGTTAATTCCTGCTGTACTTACCTAAATTCGATTCCATCGGAACCTTAAATATAAATCGAAAAACTTCATGAAAAATTGAAAATCGAATATAGGGTAGCATCAATATCAGGCAGTCAACGATAAGCAGCAGCACTTGCTTGGATCTCTGAGATTCACCACTCAGATGGCTGCTGCATTAGATATGTGCTAACCTTATTACATCGAATTCAGAATCCACAACATCAGCCCAGCTACGAGTTTAACTGAGCTTTAACAAGTCACTATAGAGCGAAAGTATAGATAGATAGACAAAGACAGTTTCACTCAACTGAAACATAACCAGGGGGGAATAGGAACCAGAGGTGGCTAGCTGTTCTGCTCTTTAAAGGCTGGTCACTTTTTGGGGCACCGTTGATTCTTGAAAGCCGATATCTAAACAACATCAAAGAAGAAGAAAGGCGAGGGCTTTAACGTACAATCGGAGTAGAGCATCTGAGAGAGACTTGTGTAGAAACGTAGTCAACTGTTTGGATAGCTGCGAGGGAGAAGAGGACAGTGACTGACCTTTTGATTCACTGATTAGTTATTCGATTTCTACCTCCATCAGCTGGTCTGTGGGTACCTTCTTTGGCCTTCCCCTTCGTCTCTTTGGCTTCACCCTCTGCCTTCACATTTACTATCATGTATTATTTAGCAAAAACATCTGTACTTGGGCCAGAACGTAGAGCAAACAGCTATAACTAATGGTGATTCATAAAAAGGGTTCTAATGAAATGCAAATAGGTACTTACAGAGCCTCAACCACCTCCAAGAACAATCGTTGATCTTCCTTGTCCCGATCCTCGACAGTATCATTTGGTGGAGGAGGGAGGGACAGTTCACTCCTCCACTCACAATTGTTGGACTTTGCCTCCTTACTAACTTCATGTCCACTAGGATCTTTCTTTGGAGACACAGCTGACACCAACCTTGTTTCTGCAGCTTCATTTTTATCTACCTTTCTTCTACTTTTCCTTCTGGGAGTTGGGTTCTTATGATCTGTGATTCTAAAATATTTAGTCCATGCATAGTGGCATAGATTCAATCATGAATCTTGTAGTTTACCTGATGGGAGGTGAGCTCTCAGTCCTAACACGATAATAGTTGGATACTCGGGTCTACGTCTTTTCCTGTTATTTCATATATATCAGTTGTGAAGAGATTTAATCATTAGAAGGATCAGTTGCTGGAGGACAGTAAGATCAATCTGTTGAAGATATAAGAAGGGTAAAGCCACAACATGTACCTTGTATAAATACCAGGCTTGCTTGCGGCTCTTCCTCGATTGCCAGTTCCTTTTTGTCTCTTGGATACCTAAAACAAGAATATATATTCAAGGATTATTATGCCGATATTCTCTATTTTCGATGATATCATTGGACTGTACTAAAACAAGATGGAAGCAAATGGGAAAATTACCGGTTTCAGCATATCTGGCGCAAAAGAGCTTCTGCCGATCTGCTTTGCCTCATCTAGTTGCAACTGATCAAGCAATTCTGGATCCGTCATCACAGGCCCTGAATCTTTTCTTATCAAGCAACATGAGCAAAGGATCTGATGGTTTTCTCAACAAGAAAATGATAAATCGAAACACTTACCTCGCTTAGACTTATCCTGAGATGATACTGAAGCGTTCTCCTGGGCATTGAGATACAGAATGGGAAAGGGAGACCTGCTCTTACGAATTCTCATTATCAGATCAGTGAAGAGAGCACACAAAATAAAACCTACTCTCTTGATTGCATTTCACTGGCCTTATTGCTGATCACGAACAGAACACCCAAAACATGCCCGTTACATAGAGTCTTTCCGGTCATTGAATGTACCTGGACCATCCTTCCATTGCATTCCACACACGTGTAGCTGCGAGAAACCTCCAGTTTGGGTTTTCCTGAGTATACAATGGCTTCACCCAAACCATTAAATCCACCGTTTTCTTTTTCCATGTGTGGAGGGAAAAAAGGGGGACTGATCTGTATTTGGAATCGCTCGCTCCTTTGAGTGCCTATTGCAACTAGTTGAACGCCATATCAACAAGCATTACTCAACAAAATAAAGGAAAACAGGATTAACATGCAATGACACAATTAGATTTCTAAATAGTAGAGAGAACCTTGCAATTTGCAAGTGTAGAAGCAGCAAATCTACAAGTGCAACGCTTGAACGGTACATCTGCAATAGCACTACCAACTACCATCCACAGGAAGATTGAGAACTTGCCTTCACTATTTTTCTTCACATATCATATCTTCTTCTATGGGGAAAAAATGGATTTCCCATCCAACATGAGAAATACAGCTTTTATGAGATTTCAGGATCTGTTACACATAATTTATTTCCAATAAGGGGTATGTTTTTATTAATGAAACTATATTGTTTGAAACAAGAGCAAAAACAAACCAGGCGTGTATTTACGAAGAAACCGGAGAAGACAATTTCCAATAAGTGTTGAGCAGCAATCTACTTTAACTTCCAATGGTAGTGTTCAACTTAGAATCTCAATTTGTAGATTGAAGAGATGCAGAATTTCTAATAAGTTACTCAAGGTTCCCAAAAGATGTAGAAGTCCTTGATGATAGAAGGGTTTACTGAGGCTAACACTATTCATAAGAGAAAGAGAGCTCTTTCCTTGCTGCTGACTTTTACCATTTTTTTTCCTTTTCTGGTGGAAAATGATAAAAAGGATTTAAATAGAGGAATACGAGCAAGAATTCGGGGAAGCATTAAGTAGAGCCTTTAACACAGAAATGTACAAGGAGATATGGGATAACCCAGAACACATGCATCTTTTCTACCCGATAATCCAAGGACACAGTTCTGTGCATTATCAACTACCAGAAACAGAAACTTCGAATTTTCTGTAATAGACACCTAAATATGATATGAGTTCCGTAGATACACCAATAAGAAGTCATCTAATTTTAGACGACGAATTACTAAAGAATGAGTAAATTACAGATGAGAGGAAAACAATGAAAAAATGGTCCCGATGTCCAAAATAAACATACTAACTTTGTTGAACCTCTAACCTTTCTCTAACTATCCAGCAGTAAACTATACATGGAAACTACAAAAATGTGGGAAGAAACCAAGCTTCTGGTCTCTTGTTCCCAAGGATTGCTGAACACATCAGACTAACATTACTTATTCTGGGTGGGATTTGAAAAACTTGGTGGTGCCTTCCGAAGGCTTGTATCCAGACCTTTCTGCTGATCTCCATCAGCAACACTGGACTTGCTCTCAAGTGATGAAAAGGTGACTGAACCTACAAATCGCCTGGATAATCTTTGGGGAGGAACAATCTTTCTTTCTCTGTTAAGAGAAAGTGACGAGGACACGAGAAAATGGAAAAGAATAAGAGAAACTAGAGCAAACAAAGCTCTGTGGCTGGTATTCATACTGTTTCTGTGAGAAGGAAGAGACAACAGTCTTGTTTAGGCTCAAGATATGCTGAATCTCTCCAAGGAAGGTATGCCAGTTACATATAAATGGTTGCAACTTGCAAGTCCTACGAAGTATATTTAATCCCAAGACTGCCAAAACTGTCTGTCATATATTTAATATCTCCTAACCTTTACTTGGTATCATACACTCTAAAGCTTAGGACAGTAAATGCATGGATGGTATAACCATATCACATCAAAGAGTAAAAGGAAGTAGATCTAAACCCTTTTTGGACTAAGTTAAACAACAATTGGTCCATAAACCTCCCAGATTTCAAAAAGATACTCAGATCCAGTCTACTGAAAACATGTAATTCAAATAAACAATGCAGGTAGGTCGGTCTAATAGAAAGTGTTCACTGTGTAATATGCACTCGATTATGATAGTAGTCTCACTTGACTGGCTCCTGTGATAGCATTCTCCTAGATGACAAATTTTCAACGATTTACATCTTCAATTGTATCATTATGCTAGTGGTATGCCTTTTGATTAGGTTGGAGCTTGGAAGCAGCTAACCATGTGATGATGGATTGAGTATTATATTTGTCTTGCCAATCTGCAGCCCATCTAACTATAAAAGTGAAAGTATCATGTGATGAGTCAGATGAGAACAAATAATTCACCTTTTTCTCTGTCCTTTAAAAAAAAAAAAAAAACTTAAATGCCTTATTACTGTTGTACCTTATTAAGAGCACATAAATCCAGCTAAGATTAGCTGGGATAGCCTACCCTTAATGACCTGAAGTCCGGAACAAACCAGTGTCCTTAGACAATGACAATCCAGATTCATGGCACATAGACTAATTTTCCTTAAGCAATTGGCCATAGAGGAGATCTTCTCCAACTTACGTTGTGGACGCTTCAACCACATTTAACATAGTCTGAAACTAGGTTCGGTTCAGCACTTGGATTACTCTATGCTACGTGTGTAATTGTATTAAAAATTCCCATCAAGACTGCAGATTTCCAAAATTTCAAAGATGCTTCAGCTATAGAACATGGATTTAGTAGTCACTTGGAGACAAAATAGAGAAATATCTACCTGGAAGTGGAAACCTCCTACCAATCAATATTCAATGAGTAAAGGGGAACAAACAGCAATGTGCTGAATTCAGAAATGCAGTGGCTTAACTGCAGATATTGTATCATTCAGGAAGAGATTGAGAAATCTCATCATCCATGTGACTTACTCACAAGGAGAGAGCTTCATTTTCAAGATCTGATCAAGAAACAGTGGAGTCAAGATGCTCCAATAAAGTTTAATTTCTTATTCAAAATATGCTATTTTCTTCTCTGGGTCAGGATTATACATTCCCACTTGACAAGGATCAAAATAATCAGAGCCATGAACAAAGTTTGTTCCTATAACAGATCAAATCACACAGATAGTACAAAGTTTAGATCGTTCATCCAAACCCATGAATAAATTAACTATCGCAAATCTTTGGTTTCAGGACAGGAACCATTTTCCTTCCAGACAAGATTACTAAAACCAAACAGTCTGGCAAAACAAGAAATCAACTGATCATGAACAATGTCTTCAGTAGGAAGCACAGTACCTGTCTCCTCCCTCAGGGAAGTAACTCGCTTATCCGCAATCCCACACGGCACAATGTTCTTGAAGTAGTTCAAATCCGGGTCAATGTTGAACGCCAGTCCATGAGAAGTGATCCCGGCAGAGATACGAACTCCAATGGCACCAATTTTGCCATCTCCGACCCAGACCCCAGTTTCCCCTTTTTCCCCAACAGAAGCCTTCACTCCATAGAGCGACGCCAGCTCAATCATAGTAAGCTCAAGCTGCTCGACGTACTTCCTTGCCCCGAATCCAATCTCCCGAAGAGACAGAATCGGATACAGCACCGCCTGACCAGGGCCGTGGTAGGTAATGTCTCCACCTCTCTCGGTGTAATGGAGCTGCGCTCCTATGTTCCTCAGTTCGGACTCGGAGATGAGCAAGTTGTGCTCCGTTCGTCGCTTCCCAAGAGTGTACGTTGGAGGATGCTGCAAACAGAGAAGCGTGTCGCCAATCTTCTGGGCTTTCCTCTCCGTGACCAACTTCTCCTGCAACTTCAGCGCCTCCAAGTAGTTCACCGTTCCCATCTTCCAGACGTTTAGACTCCGCGGCAACCTCATCCCCTCTCCAAAACTCTGCTGGACTTTTCCACAGCTCACTGCGGCATTTCGTCGAACAATGACCGGGCAAGTGTCGTCTCCGGAAGGGGGAGTCGAAATTGCAGCAACCTAATGACAAATTGGGAAAATTGAAGCAGCAAGATTACGCAGGAAGAATTGTGGAAGAGGAGTAACTCGAATAACTGCCGACGGTTGACGAGAAGAGGTTTAAACGGCACCGTTTTGGCCTACAGGACTGTTTTGATTGTTTGTTTTCGGTTTGATCGGTAAATAACCTTAAACCCGGCTGGTATGGTATTTTAACTCATTTGACCATACAGTCCCGGCTTTTAGATCAGGTACTAGTATTTAGAGGTTCAACAACCGATACGGTATTTTAATCCTTGATATTACCATTTTCCGAGCTTCATAATTTGCATAATAATAACTTCATGCAGAGGATTCCAACTTTTTCCAAGTATGTTATGTACAGAGTACAACAAAACAAGACTCCTTTGCCAACACACTTGTAACAGCAACCATCACTGAGACTAGCTACAATAAACAGAGCTCATGAAGAGCAAGAAAGCATGCAAACGCCCGGCCGGTAAGCCCAGGCAGGCGGCAACCGAGCATACTTCTCCATTCCGGGCTGCTCATCGTACGGACGTTCGACGAGCTTAAGCAGCCTTCTCACCTCCGAGTAGTCTCCCACTTCGGCTGCATCGATGGCTGTCTGGCACAAGTAATTGCGGAGGATGTACTTCGGGTTTACTGAATTCATCTGGGCTTTCCTCTGCTCGTCTGAAATTCCACTAGCAGCAAGCTGCACAAGGGAAAAAAGATGTTACAATGCTAGTTCTTCTACCGGGTGAGAGTTAGGATTGGAAAAACAGGGTTCGGTTAAAACCGAAATCCACGACTTCGATTTGATCAAAACCGAAGCTGATATTTGCTTCGGTTTGACAAATGCTCGTCTCTTGAGTTTGGTTATAATGCTAGTTCTTCTACTGGGTGCAGAGTTCGGATTGGAAGAACACGGTATGGTTAAAACCAAAATGCACGACTTCAAGTTGATCAAAACCGAAGCTGAAATTTGCTTCGGCTTGACAAATGCTCGTCTCTTGGGTTTGGTTAACCAAAATAAAATCAATCCCACCTCAAGGAATGCATTGAACCAAAACTTAAAAACCTACCTCTTGAATGTAGGACTGCACCCAGGTAGTCCATGCCTCTTTCCGCTCCTTGCCAATATCCAACAGCACAGACTTCAATGGAACCAACAGTTCGTCTTCCGGGAGATTTGGATCGGCTTTGAGGTTGGAGAGCGTCCGGAAGAAATTGGTGTAATCGACTTTATCCACAGCCATGTTGTTCAGTAGCTTACCAATCAACTGCTTGTTGTACTTGGGAATACCGAGTTTCCTCGTCATTATAGCTTGATACTCGTCCATGAACTTAGTCCCATACCTGAGATTGACCAGAACAAAATCACTATAAGACCAAAGGAACCAATTCTCTAGACAACTGTTACACTTTTAAGATGAAAATTCCATCTATTTACCTTTCCATGGCATAGTTTGCTTCCTTCTCGTTGATCAACCCAGCAGTAGAGAGAGCAGCTCCGAACTGAGCAATGTTCCATAGACCAACATCAGGTTGATTTGCAAAACAGTACCTCCTTCCGGGAAGATCTGTCGTGTTTGGGGTAAAACTAGGGTCAAAAGCATCCAAGAAACCGAATGGACCGTAATCAATGGTTAGACCCAGTATGCTCATGTTGTCTGTGTTGAGCACTCCGTGAGTAAAACCCACTCCCTGCCATCTTGCAAACAAGGAAGCAGTGCGTTCGGAGATCTCTACTGCCCATGCTGAAATAACATTGCAACTTTATAAGTAGATTGAAAACATAAAATGCGTAAGATGACAGCATAATGGTAGAAAGGGATAGGAAAAGATTCTGCAGCATGATAAAGATCTAGTTCGGATCACAAAGCAAAATACCGAGTTAAAAAGTTATACTATCTCTCTACGAAACCATCTGTGTGACTGTTTATATATAACACTCAACTAAGATTCAGCAAGATACAGAGAGATGCCATCTAACAGCAAAGTTGAACAAGTTAAGAGGATGTACCTGCGTATTTATTAGAGGTTAGATCAACAATGGAATCCTCATCTTCCCCAGTAGTAAAAGACAAGCTCTCACTTTGAGTCATATTCTCAATATGAGGGAAATGGTGCTTAATGGCATAGTCTGCCAGAGCCCGAACTATTTCAAGATCCTCTTTCCCTCTGGAAGCATGTAGTTGGTACGAACCAAATCGTAGAAATGATGGGGCTACTCTGCAAACAATCGCACCAGGTTCATCCTTGGGATTGCCACTGCAAGAAAAAGGGGTTCAGAGTCAGCAATTAGATGTCATGCTCACTCAAAAAGTTCTACAGAGCATAAAAAAACATTCAGCACGAAAACAGTCGAACATACTCATAAAACATATCCCGGGTAACGAATTTCCCAGTCGTCACAAGAGAAAGTGCACGGGTGGTTGGGATCCCCAGGTGGTTCATTGCCTCACTGCAAAGGAACTCTCGAACACTACTCCGCAACACTGCAAGTCCATCAGCAAATCGGCTGTATGGAGTCTTTCCAGCACCCTTGAGCTGCAGCTCCCATCTTTCGGACTTGGAGTTCAGGACCTCCCCTAGGGTTATTGCCCTACCATCACCCAACTGACCAGCCCAGCTTCCAAACTGATGCCCTCCATAGTTCTGAGCATATGGCACCCTGCAGAAATGAGCATTCAGTAAGGACATAAACCTAAACCAATGTCAACCAAATTTTCCGTATAATTCGCTTACGAGCCAGCCATAAGCGATGCCCCTGAGAAGTACAATGGGAAATCTGGCCTTTCAAACCTGCAAATCCCGCATAATAAACCACCATCAATTCCACAAAATGATTCATTGAAGCCCAATGAGATTCCAAATATATCCATATACTTACTCCTCTAAGTCCAAATCAAGGAACCGAGCAACTGACTCTGACCAGGCAACCAGCTGCGGATTCTCCACCTCCGCCGAAGGGCTAACTTTCGTATAACAAGCATGATAAACCTGAAACGGTTCGAAAGCAAAATGAAAAACCCTAACTAAACCAAATTCCACATCAACGGGCGTATCAGCTGCTTAATCTGAACATCAACAAAGGCGATGAACGAGTTACCTGACGAGGAAGTGGATCGCTTCTCGGATCCCCGGGCAATATCTTGACGAACGAATTGTCCCAATTGAGATCCTCGAGCTTCAATCCTCCAGTCTTCCCCGCGCCATTCCCCTCGACGCTAAGGCTCTGGTTCTTGAAATCGGCCGTCACGGCGTCGACGGACGACGTGGCGGATTCCATGGAGACTCTGTCGCTACTACACGAGCTGACACAGCGGCGACGGCATGCGAAGGAAGTCGAGAAGTGAGATTTCCCGAGAGAGGAAGGGTCTAATCGGAACTTGGGCCGCGGAAGAAGGGAAGAATAAGAAGTAGAGGACGAGGAAATGAGCGAACGGAGTGAAAGCGGAGACTTCGGAGAGAAATGAGAAAGCAGCATTTCTCCTTCTATACGTTTGTGTTGAATTTAACAAACAAAAAAAGCAGGCGGTGGTTTTGGTTTTTTGGCCCTCGGAAAGTGCGCGAACTAACGGCGGCCGCCGTGGAGGGCGACGCCCTGGCTATCGACGAGGTGTCGACGTGGACGCTTCTCAGCCCATGTTACGTGGACAACTTTGCAACTTGATGATATTGACTGGGCCTGAATTGAGGCCCAGAGTCTTTGGTTAGGTTAAGCCCATCAATCAGCGCGGGGAGGTTGAGCCATTTCACGGCGCGGCTAATGTTGCTCCGACCGGGAAAACGGCCGCCGCGGGACTCGAACGCAATTATTAACTGTGGGGGGAGAAATTGAGCCGAGCCGCCATAGAAATTGTTCCAAGTCCGCGTTTGCTCCTCCTCGATCTTTGTCAGCATCATCGCTCGAAGCAATCAATCAATTGATGACTCGCATCTCGGCTCCGGCGTCTTTGGGATTTCAACAGCCGCTGTCTCATTCCTCAGCCGCTGGCCCTTTTGCGGGAGGCTTTCGCCGGAGGTAGTTTCAGGCCGTCGGGTGCGGTTTTCTGGAGCTCTTTCGAGGGTTTTTGAGGAATTTGGCTGGTAATTCTTGGGTTTGTCCATGGCGTAAGGAGCTTTGGAGTTCTGGCATTTTCTGGTTAGGGATTGTCTCCGCCGGAAATTTTTCCTTCTTCAGCTTCTTTTGAGTTCGAAGGTGGATTTTTTCTGGGGGATCTTTGTCCAAGACTGTAACTTGCTTACTGTTACTGGCAGCTGCTTGTGCTTTTCTGACCCTGGTGCACTTTTCTAGGGTTTTAAGAAGCTTCTGTTTAGCCACTAGAGGTATTGCATTAGTACTGGTGAGTTCATGGGACCAGAATATGGGATCGTTTCTTCTTACAACTTCGTGAGGTTTAACTACTGTTGCCTTAACGAACAGTTCTGGAGCTGGTTTTCTTAATGCTATTGGATGGGTCTAAAGTTTTTAATAGGGTTGGAGATATCTCCATTTTCTTTTTCTTCCCCTCTCTGTGACTGGTGATGAGATTGCTGAAGTTGGTGCTGAGACGTTGTTATAGTTAACTGAATTTCGTACTTCAGTTGTTTATTTCAAGTCAGATTGTTTGAATGGTTCCCCTGTCAATGCGACCAAGGCATAGTTTTCCTCTGCTGGGTGTTCATGAACTAATATTATTAAGCTGTGTGGTTTTGCAGTTTGCTAAGTTCATTGTAAGTTCATAGTGAGAAGCTTCATGTTGAGAAATATGGAATCAGATAACAGTGGTAAGTTCGATTCTGAAATGATTTGTCCATGACTTCATCAACCGACTTTACACAGGGATCACTAACTAGGAAATTCTGAAGTTTGATATCTTGTTTGCATATTTCTCCTGAGTTTGCCTAATGGTGAAGTTTGGCTTTTGTGTAGATACAGACGAGGATGTTCCTCCGCAACTACAAAACCGATTCCAAAGTGGTATGCGACCTGCTGGGAATGGAAGAGCAGCAATGGCTGGGTCTGCTCCCATGCCAAGGCAAAATGATATGGAGATTCAAATTCACAATATCGAACAAGAAGCCTATAGTGCAGTCCTTCGGGCATTTAAAGCTCAATCAGATGCTATTACTTGGGTATCTACTCTGAGTAATCTGATGTATATATCACGGTTGCCATACAGTGATTGATTTAAAACAGAGTTTGTTCTCTGTTCCCAATAGGAAAAGGAGGGATTAATAACAGAACTCAGAAAGGAGTTGAGAGTGTCGGACGAGGAGCATAGGGAACTGTTATCCAGGGTCAATAATGACAACATGATTCGAAGGATAAGGTCTAAAGATGTCTTTATCGTACTTGTGATGACTATAGTTCTCCTCGTCAATCTTGTGGCATCTGATTTGACAATGAAAATTCATTTCCTGATGTTAACAGGGAGTGGAGGAGAACTAGTGGGTCCCAATCAGGGATGCCGAGCGTTGCCCAGCCTGCCCATGATCGTGCCCCTAGTCCCTCGGTTTCTGGATCACGCAAGAAACAGAAAACATCACAGTCGGCTGCATCATTAGCCATGGGTGCTCCTTCTCCTGCATTGCACCAACCAATGCAAGCATCAACATCAGCCCTAAGACGAGGGCCTCCCCCTCCACCTGGATCAAGAAACAAGAAATCCCAGCCAGTACGTCGGCTTGGTTTTCAGTACTGGATTGATTTTGTTTTTCCGGTTTTTTCCTCTCTTGTATGATGCTTATCTTCTATTCCCTGAATGCAGACCTTGCAGTACCCTCCTTCTATCGGTATGAATGAAGGTGGAAGGACCCAGGTTGCTAACAGGAATTCTGCCGGAGCATTTTCAACCAATGAGCCTGCAGCTCCTACAAGTCTAAATCCATTGGTTGGAAGAAAAGTTTGGACTCGGTGGCCTGAAGATAATAGCTTCTACGAGGCTCTTATCACCGACTACAAACCAGAAGAAGTATGTCTTACCCTATCACTTTGCGAGCAACTTGCTTTTGCCTCTGATTCTCACTTATATAAAAAATTCTTTCACACTTGACAGGGGACACATGCTTTGGTGTATGATATGAACACAAAGAATGAAACATGGGAATGGGTCAACCTCAAAGAGGTAGTTACTGATAGAACTCATGCCATGCCATCCATTTTTTATGCACTGGATGATCCCATTTTCACTGCATATGAGATACTGAAAGGACTGACTCTCTGGATTTGAAGCTTTTGGAATTAAAAGATGAACCACCTGCTGAATTACATGCTTGTTTACAATAGATACCCCCTGAAGACATCAGGTGGGAGCATGAGGATGAATCCATTTTTGGTAAAGGCGACCGACCTGGACATGGTCGGGGGAACAAGAAGCCCATGATGCGTGGTGGTTCTGCTGCTGCTGCTGGGCCTGGACGAGGTAGAGGGAACACTAAAGGTCCGAAAAGGGAGTTTCCTCTACCACAGAATGGCACTGGGAAAAAGGCTTTGGGTGATATCGAGATCCTTCACACTGAGACACTAATCAAGGAGGTATTCATCCTATAACCAGTTATTATTTGGATATGATTGTGAGCTGCAAACTTTTTGTCACCCAGATCTGTCGTTTCCCAAATAGGTGGAAAAAGTTTTCGGCGCTAACCTTCCTGATCCTACGGCTATTGAGAAAGCGAAGAACGTGCTCAGAGTAAGAGGAAGCATTCAACATTTATTTCTGCTGAAATAAATTACAATGTTGATGTTCTCCAATTCACGTATGCCACACATTTGCCATTGGTGTGGGATTGATTGTGTGTTTTACTGCAGGAACATGAACAAGCTCTTGTAGATGCAATTGCAAGGCTTGAAGATGCTTCTAATGGTGTAAGTGGTAATACATATATATCTCTTAGTCATGCTCATTTCAATTTAAAATTAAGCTGTGTTTTTCCTTGTGTAATCTAAATGAAACTCTTGGATCTTCAAATGTATCTGAGATTGATCTCAAATGCTTCAAAACTATGCAACCTCTTGCTCATAGAGTATGAAGTATTTGAATATCCGCTCTAGAGAATTGGGTCACACGTGTTTTCTTTCACTTTCTTGACACGATTTTTTGTTCAGATGCACCGAGGTATAAGCTAAGCAATCTAATAGCATGCAATTAAGACAAATTATATCTAATTACGAGAACGCTGAACCAAACACACCCTAGATACTTGGTAGCATTCCCCTTGAAGAAGCTTCTGATCCTTTTGGGTTTCCAAGAGTAAACTGGTTGTCATAGTCTCCTCATAAAGTCATGCAGAATGAATGGAACGATTGAACTTTTTGAGTGTTGAATACTTTTGACCTATGTCTAGTAGTTAGAACAACGTTCAATGCCTAAATGAAGGTGGATTTTGAGGATGAAACATTCAATTTGTTGCAGAGGATGGAGGGCGGCAGTTTCCCCATGGGCGGTTGGAGCAAGAGCAAGGTTGGAGGAAACAGATACAACAATGAATTTGGCGGCAGCGGTAGGGAGAGTAGTAGAGGTCCAGATGGTCAGGGAGGGTAGAGTTTTCTTTTCCTTGTTTTTTGAGGGGTGATGATGATGATGATGGTGATCAGTTCTGTTTGTAGCAACCCATCTGTGTATGATAGAATGCTCTAATCCTAAAAACTAGGCCAAAGTACAACATGGCTGTTACTAACTTAAAATAGCCTGTCGGATGGTGAGAGTGTAGCCTTTTTGTTCAACACCCTTTTGTCATGTATATTACCCTCAGCTGTAGTAGTACCCAAGTTGTGATTTCCTCAGGTGTCTTAGATTGTTTGTGTTTTTGCCAACGGATTAGAGAATGGAAGAAAAGGATTTGCCTTTCTGTTTTTTACCCAGTTTAAGTTGGCTTGTGCTTTGATGAGCTTTCTTACCTTCTTTTTGTGCTTTGCAGTTGAGGTAAAATTGGTAACCTCTTTCCCGTTAGAACAAGAAATCTTACATGAACGTCGTTGATGGCTTTCGGTGACATTATTTGGGTAACAAATGTCCTTTTATATGAACATCATTGTGAATTGTGAGATATATTTATAACATAATGTTTACCTAAAGTAGTGCCTATTTGATCCATATCTTTCCACTAGTGTGGCCCCCGGCCAGTAGTTGGCCGGAGGAAGGTGAGGTATGAAATTTGATAATGTAATGGGGTGTATAGCTTATTGTTGTATAGTTTTTTTTGGGAAACACGTGATAAAAATAGTGAATTTTAGCAGGAAAGAGACATGAATGATGCAATGAATCTAAAATCGGCCTTATGAACCAAAATCAAGTACATATTACCTTGTGAAACAATATTGTTTCTGGTAATATGATGAAGTGGAGTAAGTTTTATAGAAACCGAATTCCAGAAAATTGAATAAAAAATCGCCTATCCCGTCGGTTTTCGGGAAATGAGCATCTCACAATCGTTGCTAGCTTTTACTCGGCCCGTTGGTCGATTAATTTGCTTATAAAACTTTCATCTTGTCGTCATTGTGCTTTCTGGTTTTTGTTAGGCCATGATAAAATCTAAGGAAATCAATAACGAACAACACGATTTGGGATAGGAACCGTCGTTGTCGTATCCCTAAAAAATGGTGGTAAACACGGACTCACCTACCAAACTGGTTTGGATTGAGATTTTTATCGGGTATCAGGGAACCATGTGATTATAAATTAGACTAGATCAAAACGGGCCAAAACTTGAAATTCAGCCTGTTTGACCGACCCGTGCCAAATTCTAATTATTCTTTACTTTTAAACTTTCTATTTGAAAATAAAAAATAGTGAAAGAAAAGAGATGACTGCAATTCGCCATTTGCACATCACTTATTCGGGAATAAAACCATAAAAATTCAAAAGGAACTGAAAATATTTAGGATCGTTTTAATGTTTAAAATAACCAAATAGATCGTTCTGTTTAGTTTTTTACTAACAAATACTAAACGATTCCCTATAAAATACACTATAATTTGATCATTATGATATCGAATAATTATATAATATATATTTGAAATGATAAAAATTAGACTAATTGGGTTGGTCGAGGTTGAACCATTGAATAACTTTAAAATACATTATATTTTAGCCACTAAGATATAAAATAATAGCATAATATATTATGCCAGAGAAAATAGCTTGTTTTAGAATGGCAAGCCAATGATGTTCATTGGTTTTACTTGATGGCCAAATCCCGTGTAGGTCAGACCCATTCAACAATTTTATTTTATGGTTAGCGGTTAGCCCATTAGATACCATGCATTAGTTTATTGTTAAATTTTTTATTTTTAGCAATAAAAAGGAGTATTGTTTTTGCCTTTTCATATATATTTTATCACCACGGAGAAATAAAAGGGCTTAAAGAACAAAATTGACACTCCTTGACCCGTTTAAATCAGCATGTGTACGGTAAGTTGGCCCGTTCCATAGAGGAAAGAGAAAAAAATTGACACTCCCTATTCTACCCTTCCTACAAACGCTCCTGGAGCAGGGAATTTGAAATGGGGGAAGAGTTTTTTCCTCCCTGGTATTATATATTTTTAATTTAAAAAGATACGACAAATGTACTTAGTGTGATTGGTTATGATCATTGCTTTTCTTTAAAATGGTCATGGTTCGAATCCCAGTACGTGTCTTTTTAATGAATAAAAAAAAGTAATTGTGAAGACCAAAATGTTCTTCCTACTTTCACTCCCGTTGCAAGAAATTGAAAATGGGGCTCCGGTTTTTCCCTTTGGTGTATTATATTATGTGTAGATTATCAATGGTCATTTACATATTTTTGTATATAAATGAATTACTCTAATTCATTTTGAAATTAAATCTTTTTGTATATAGTAATTAAAAGAATTCATTGTTAATTCTTAATTTTGAACTCTACCAAATTGAAATCAAATCACATCTCGAACCAGAGATAAACAGCTCAATAGCATTTCTGCATTTAAGAAGTCATTTTCAGATTCAAGTCCCTACTAAAGAGGCCGAAATGCTCCTCCAAATACTTCGGGTCTTGATTCTGTATTTAACCATTCAGGTTACTCATAAAGAGTCACTAATAGCGAATATATCCCATATATATCCCAAATGTCTTTATCGAGATGCTATTTATACCTGTTTTCCAATAATAAAAATTATTCAGAGGCCTCTATAAATAATTTATTAGACCAACTCCAACCCAAAAGGTTATATTTAGCCTCTCAAGCTCTCAAATGTGCATTTTTACATTCCAAAAACACTTTTTTCTCCAACCCTAAACCTTCTAAATTTGCCTTCCCAACTCATAACCAACCAATCAAAAATTAAGAAAGTAAAAAAAGAAGGGGAAAAAAGATGCTGGAAAGTGGAGGGCCCCAGCGTGTGGGCTTGGGCTGCCCATGGTCCCCCACCTTCTCCTTGCATTTTTCCATATCAGCTTCTATCTATCCACCCCCAAGCCCACTTCTCCAAATTTGCAAGCCAAATAATTGGTGGATTGGAGATGAAAAAAAGCCAAAAATCTTCTTTTCTCCAAATTTGCATGCTTAGGTTGGAGACAGTCTTATTATTACTAGCTTATTACCCGACCCGTTGGCCGGATTACTGTATGTTACCCACTTGTGGAATGGGAGAGAAAGCAAGTGAGAGTGAAGGGATTGGGATTCCACTTGATTAGGACCGACCCACTAATCCGATTCTTCCCGACCCGCCCCAACCTAAAGGGTCAGAAAGAGTCAATAAGAAAATACGAACGAAGAGGATTAGTCATATATCTTGACTCTTCAGAAGTGGGTCAAACAGGATCAAGGTTGGGTGAGGGCAATATTTAGCGCTAAGCAGAGTTCAGGGTTGAATAACTTTACTTAGGCCTAGAAATTGGTGCTGATGCAGACTGCAGTTTTTATTATACCATCATCAATCATCATTGAATTAGTCCTGGGCATCCCTCCCCATTGTCGGTCTGAATTCTAAAGATGGCTTCATTCCTTGCACCAGCCATATTAGCGAGTTGTCATCTCGAGCATGATTTGTCTATGTACAAATGATACAATTAGAGTATGAAACTGGATTCAAAGAAAAGGAAAAGAGAATTCTATCACATGCCAATAAATACACACATAATAGTTGAAGCTAAGTGAAAGTCATTACTCGCACATCAATTCTCAAAAATTATAGACTAAACAATGGCTAGAATGGCACTAAAACTACCAAGAATCATGGACGAAACAACTTGTCAAATTAAATAATCCTTATACTGAAAGTACCTTCTAACTTAAAATAAGACATGATCACAGTTCATAGCACTCTTATCACTATGAATTGGTTGCAGCTCGTCCTTATCACTGCCTCCCAAGCTCAATTCAAACAGAATAGAGACCGTTATGTAAGATAACCATATCCTTACTAATCATAATTCCTTTCTCCACTCCATTTTTGTCGGAGAAAAGAGTTATCCCCCTCTCCTGCATTTCCCTTTCCTCCTCTCTTCTCCCTCTTCTTCACAAACCGATCCCTAAACCAACAACAACAACACAAAAATAGCCTTCGCCTCTGCCATCTCCATCTACTGAACGCGTTGGTGGCAAAACAGGACTACAGAAGCAAAATTTTCTAAAATCAAACGAAACTTTTTGAAGGAGACTCAACCACGAAAAAAGAGTAAAGCAACAATGCTAATAGTTCAGATGGTTGGTTTTGATGTTATACGTTGCTTTTGTTATGGTCTCCAATATATCAACTGCAACAGAGATGTTTCCTCCAATCATCTTTAGTGCACGATTTAGAAGTAAGTCCTCTTGTTTGTGTCAAACGGAAACATTCATGGGTTCTTAACTCCCCTATTAGTGTAAATGCAGCAGCAGCAGCAAAGAAGTTTGACAACACAGCAAGCACCCAGGGAAAATGATACAATGCAGTAGGTGATATGTGTCTCGAAGGTTTTGAGTTACTAAAGTTCATGTTAAAAATAAACATGAATTAAAATGGATTATTCTATTAAGCAAACATCCCCTCTAATCATACAAAGATCAGATATCCAATCCACAAACAATTAAGCCATAAAAAATCATCACACATCCACCATCTTTGATTGCCTAAATTGGTTTTTGGCAAAGTTATGGACTCTTAAGGGTAAAGTTCATGGGTAGTCTGTTTCATAACTCTAGAGAGCACAGTAAGCAGCCACCAGCCAGGCACAGTGCGGTAGGCGAATATGATTCTCAATTCACAATTTCTCACCACCGGAAGTAAGAACGGACCATAATAAGCTTAGCGTTCATGGGTGGTCTGTTTCATAGCACTACTACACAATTTGTTAAAAAAGAAAGAAAGGTATTTAGCATCACAGCGGAACAACTTTTACAGACCAACAACGACAACATGCTGCAACCACCAGAACTGGTATCACAACTCATAGGGAAAATCAAAAGATTTACTCTCAAATTAAGTAGTTACAACATCGAGCAATCGTCAAGCACATACACCATCACAAAAGTCACGGAACCTGATTCACAAAGCATTCAAACATTTGAGGACATTTCTGCAAAGGTACAACTTATATGTCTTTTTTCCAATCCATTTCCATCAACATACTAATAAATTTGCAATGCATAAAACAAACGGGCCAAAACTTGAAATTCAGTCTGTTTGACCGACTCATGCCAAATTCTAATTATTCTTTACTTTTAAACTTTCTATTTGAAAATAAAAAATAGTGAAAGAAAAGAGACTACTACAATTCGTCATTTGCACATCACTTATTCGGGAATAAAACCATAGAAATTCAAAAGGAACTGAAAATTTTTAGGATCGTTTTAATGTTTAAAATAACCAAATAGATCTTTATGTTTAGTTTTTTACTAACAAATACCAAACGATTCCCTATAAAATACACTATAATTTGATCATTATGATGTCAAATAATTATAAAATATATATTTGAAATGATAAAAGTTGGACTAATTGGGTTGGTCAAGGTTGAACCATTGAATAACTTTAAAATACATTATATTTTAGCAATTAAGATATAAAATAATAGCATAATATATATTATGCCAGAGAAAATAGCTTGTTTTCGAATGACAAACCAATGATGTTCATTTGTTTACTTGATGGCCAAATCCCATGTAGGTCAGGCTCATTCAACTCTTTTATTTTATGGTTAGCGGTTAGCCCATTAGATACCATGCATTAGTTTATTGTAAATTTTTTTATTTTTAACAATAAAAGGTGTATTATTTTTGCTTTTTCATATATATTTTATCACCACGGAGAAATAAAAGGGAATAAATAAAAAAATTGACACTCCTGGACCTGTTTAAATCCGCATGTGTACGGTAAGTTGGCCTGTTCCGGAGAGGAAAGAGAAAAAATTGACACTCCATATTCTACCCTTCCTACAAACGCTCCTGGAGTAGGGAATTTGAAATGGGGGAAGAGTTTTTTCCACCCCGTTATTATATGTTTTTAATTTAAAAGGATACAACAAATGTACTTAGTGTGATTGGTTATGATCCTTTTCTTTCTTTAAAATGATCATGGTTCGAATCCTAGCATGTATCTTTTTAATGAATAAAAAAAGTAATGGTTAAATACAATTTAATATCCAAACATTTCATTTTAAACAATATAATAACCAAACCTTTTCGAAAACAATATAATATCCAAACCGTCAACTTTTCGTCCGTTTGACCGTTAATTGATACTTCAAAAAAGTTCGAAGTACGACACTTCATCAATATCCATCGATATCTTCTCTGAAAAACCACCAACATATTGTGGTTCCAAACCCGAGAAGTCCATGACTCCACCATGATGGTATAGAATATCTAATATTCAGTCATCTGCAATGCCAAAACAAGAAAACAAAGTTGTATTGTGACAATTTTCCCTAAACAAAGCTTTTTTGAAGTGTTAACTAACGGTCAAACGGACGGAAAATTGAAGATTTGGATATAGATTGTTTTCGAAAAGGTTTGACTATTATATTGTTTAAAATGAAAAAGTTAAGATATTAAATTGTATTTACCCAAAAGTAATTGTGAAGACAAAAATGTCATCCCTGCTTTCACTCTCGTTGCAGAAAATTTGAAATGTGACTCCCATTTTTCCGTTCGGTGTATTATATTATGTGTAGATTATCAAGTTAGCTTTAAAAAAATATATATAGTTGAATAGATAGAAAGCCCTGGGCCATGGCTTATTTTCTAAAATCAAGTATATGATGTTATTGGGCTCAAAGTGGGCAACCAAGCAAATAAGCCCATCAGGCTTTTGTTTGTACCGCCGTCGGAGATATACCATCGGCGCTGGGGAGCAGAAACTGCCCGCCGCCGCGGAACTCAAATTACGATTATGAACTGCGGGAAAAAGGAGGCGCCATGAACAAAATAATTTTATTTTCAAGTCCGTGCTTCATCCCCTCTCTCACATTCAGCGGCCTTTCTCGGAATCAAAATCCAAATCTTTTTTCTCTTTTTCCGCTTCAGATTCGAATCTCGATTTGGTTACAGTTCCCTCTGCGGTGGAGAATTCCGAACCAATCTCGTTGGATCTCTGGCAAACTCGCAAAGTCGATCGCTTTTCATCGACACCGTCCCTGGGCGTTCAGTTCTTCGGTCTCCGACGACTTTGTTGTAGCTAGGATTGTCGAAGAATCAGCTGATGCTTTGTTCTCTATATTGGATTCTTCAGTAAGCCATGTCGAGCTTGAAGTTTGAGGGTTTCTGCTAGGGCTTCTTGGCCCCAATTTTGGGAGAAATCAGCTGCTTCCGGTTGCTCCAAACTTCTATTGCCTTTAAGGGTTCGAAAGCACTTCAAACTTGGTCGCTGGGAGTGTTTACGGTGATAAAAGGTGAGCTATGATACCGTTTCTTCGTGCAGATTCCCGGGATTGTCACTACTGTGTATTTTTTAAGAATCATTATGGTGTGGGTTTGGTTAATTGTGGTGAATCGTACTGAATTTTGGTGCTTTGGGGGATGGAACTTCGATTCCATGTCAGCTTTTGCTTGGTCTGTCTGAAGATTGTAAGGGGTTGAGAAAGAACCCTTGAATATACAACTTCTCATGTTGATCCAATTCATTGCTTGCTTTTGTTTTTTCTTCCTTGATGTTCATTGTTTAGATGATTTTCCTGCAAAAGCTGTAAACTTACCTAGTTTTTCTGTCTCCTGGCAGGTGTTTTTTGACCTGGTACTGTAACAAATTGGGTTTGTTTTGTAGTTGCTAACTGCCAAGTTTGAGGCTTGGTTTTGAAGAAATATGTACGGAGATTCGGATAGCAGTAAGTTAATTCATCTGCTAAGTCTCCATCATAGAATAGACTGGCAAAAGCTCAGTTAGGAATCGCTAGTAGAAAGGCTTTTACATGTAGTAAGTAGTAACCATAACAATTACTTCATTTCAGAGTTCGAATTTTACTTTTTCTATTATTTGTTTGTTGACTGCAGGTACTGATGATGAACTTCCATCAGCTCCAAATAGATTCCAACCCGGGGGACGACCTGCTGGGAATGGAAGGTCTGCAATGCCTGGGTCTGCTCCCTTAGCTAGGATGCATGCTGATATGGAAGTTCAAATTCACGCTATTGAACAAGAAGCATATACCTCTGTTTTGCGGGCATTTAAAGCTCAATCAGATGCCATCACCTGGGTATCTATTCTGGTTGCTTTGTAACTATTGTGATCATTTGTATTTGTGAAACCTTAGAAGGTTTTTGTTGTCTTATGTTTCTCTAAAGGAAAAGGAAAGCTTAATTACAGAACTCAGGAAAGAGTTGAGAGTATCAAATGAGGAGCATAGGGAACTTCTATCCAGGGTCAATGCCGATGATACCATCCGAAGGATGAGGTATAAATTTCATCATTCTATGTAATGAGTGCCACTTTTATTCTTTGAAAAGAAACCTTATGCAATGTGATAACAGGGAATGGAGAAAGATGAGTGGAAGTCAACCAGGTGCACAAAATACTTCCCAGCTTGGGCACGATCATGTTCCTAGTCCATCGGTTTCTGGATCACGCAAGAAACAGAAATTGTCACAATCAGTTGGCTCGTTATCCATGGGTGGCCCTCCTGCATTGCACCCACCAATACAAGCATCTACATCAGCCGTAAGACGAGGTCCTCACCCTGCATCTAAGAGCAAGAAGCCCCAGCCTGTAAGTTTGTTTGTTTGTTTCAGCTCTAATACCAGACTAAGACAATCCTTTGATTTGATTGGCACATATGGCGTATTCTTTTTAATGAGTTAGATTTACCAGTTAGCTTAACAATATTATTAGATGTCTTGAGAAGTTTAAAATTTCGTCCACGGGATAGTCTTATATTTTTTGGCAAATCCTGGGAAGGAGGTTTGTAAATTTACTATGCAAATATTTTCTTCCATTTGGTGGGCATGTTTATGTCACGTAGATTTTTGATCAACACCATTAAGACTTTCATTGATGTTGTTAAGATAACTGTTCAATCTAACCTAACAGATCATGCATGTTTGTCATTTCACAAATAATGTGTCTCATTGACAATAACGCCAGAGTTGTGTCTTTAGTTGGCATTCTGTATTTATAGTTAGGAAGTTGGTTTATAATTTGATGCAAGTGATTAGTTTATAAGCAAATACCTCTCTCCGGTGTGCTTAGTGATGTATGACTGGGTGATGGGAACTAACTAACGACCTGCTGCATTTGGAATGCAGTCTATGCAGTATCCATCTACGAGCTTAGGTTCTGGCAGGGGCCAAGTCGCTACTAGAGGACCTTCTGCTGCATTCCCGGCCAATGGGCTTGCAGTGATTGGAAGAAAAGTTTGGACTCGTTGGCCTGAAGACAATAGTTTCTATGCAGCTCTTATCACTAACTACAAACCAGAGGATGCATGTCTTACTCTTTACCATGCAGTACTCATCTAGATATGTTTTTTCACCGCTAATTATCTTATTCACCAAATTGTTTCCTATTGACAGGGTACGCATTTTTTGGTATATGATATATACACTCCTAATGAAACACGGGAATGGGTCAATCTCAAAGAGGTACGATTCTGTGAATTTTTTGTGGGGGGGGCTACTAAATTCATACTGCTAATTATTCAGTTTCTTCATGAATTTGCCACACCTAGCGATGGCTTCTAAAAATGTGCCCTTGTATATATCCTGAAATTCATGGGACTAAGAATCCATCTTTATATTTTGCTTGGCAAACCGTAGATTCCTGGATAATCTCTCCCCTTGACGGATTGTGCACCTGCCATACATCAACACAATCTTGCAATCATAAATTCAAACGACCACTCAACCCCGAACTGAATTATGCACATTTTAGCCTTTTCTGCATCTTCTTATGTGTGTACTTCTGGACTATTGCCAGTGCTGCAAGCTTAATCTTTTGTATGTGTAATCAACAGATACCTCCTGAAGACATTAGGTGGGAAAGCGAACCCATCTACTGCAACGGTGGTCGTGCTGGACCTAGACCGAACAAGAAGTCCATGCCGCGTGTTGGTGGTCCCCCTGGAAGAGGTAGAGGGCCCACCACGAAGGGGCCTAAGAAAGATCATCTTCTGCCATTACAGAACGGCACTCGTAAAAAGGTTGTGGGCGATATCGAGATACTTCACACTGATACCCTAATAAAAGAGGTGATGAGGAAATACTGTGGCGACTTTGTTCAGCTAATTTTTGCTGTCCAGTTTGTTAATAAATGGTCCCTGATTCTAACAGGTTGAGAAGGTCTTTGGTTCCAACTTTCCTGACCCTATGGAGATCGAAAAAGCAAAGAAAGTGCTTAAAGTAAATACTCTAATCTGATCCTTCATTTCCTCCAGTTTAATCTCTGCTGCATTTAGGCCAGTGCTGTGAGGTTTATGCGGGTCTTTTATATGCAGGATCATGAACAAGCTCTTGTAGAAGCAATCGCAAGGCTTGAAGATGCTTCAGATGGTGAAAGTGGTAATATATGATATATAATATTGATAACCTTATGTTCATATAGGTAGATGGTGTTCAAAATAAAGATTTGCAGTCTTCTTGTTGTATCATCTAAGTTTAAACTTTTTGGATGTTCAGATTTAACCTGTAATATTTATGCATAAAAATCCGTCTTCTTAGACTTCAAAAGATTGTCAATCTAGGATCTTTTTGCCGCACTTGAATCTATGTTCATTTACCTTCAAAAGATTGTCGATCTAGGATCTTTTTGCCGCACGTGAATCTATGTTCATTTACCTTCAATTTAAATCTCATCCAAACAAAGATGGGAAAACAGTTGAACTGTTCAGCAATGTTGATGGTACATTGAACTATAAGATAAAACAATGCAATCTTTCTCTGTGTTTATTGAAAGCAGATGGGGGAAGAACACAAGTTTCCCGTGGACAATCATTGGATCAAGAACGATCGAGAAAACAGGTGTACAACGATAGTCTCCCTCTGGAAGGGAACAAAGAGGGTCAGGGAGGATAGAAAGCTGGATTGTATGATGATCAGTAGTGTGCCATAACTTGTACAATAGAATGCTACAATTCGGTAGGAGCTAACCAAATACATGTGGCTCTGACTACTTAACAATGGAAGATGTAACCTTTGATTTGAATCTCCCTTTTAATTTTCTGGTCCTCGCTACTTGGATATTCCATTCCTTGTGTAAAATTGCTCCGAATGAGTAGTCCTTGTTTGGCAGGAAATAAAAACCTCCTTTGAAATTTGCTCTTCAATGCTATCTTTGTGGATCTACAACCATGAATGATGACACAATTGATTCCATTATCCTCTGCTCTGTGTAATGGTACTACTGCAGACGGAACCTGTTTAGACTTGTCGGTTCAAGGTACAATGAAGTATGATAGCAAAACTGTGTAATAACTGCTATAGATCATGATAAGACCACATTGATTTGATCACCGATTCTCATTTGATTCATATCAAACAGTGGGAAATGTATCACAAGCACTGACCTAAGTACCTGCATATAAACAATATAAACTATTTGGGATACCATGGTGGGCCGGTGATCAAACCGATATGATTTTATCACACAGTTCTATAGCAATTCTTAAATTGCTTTGCTATCATACCTCCACCATACCTTTTCGTTAGTCTCGCGGGTTAAGCTTCAATGAGGTCCACAACATTCTCTACACCGCACGGAGAAGGAGCATGAGCATGGTGATAGAAGCAGCAACCCGAATCATCAGTTACTACCATGAACAAACATACAGACTACAACCACGTACCATCATCTGTCGTTAACTTATAAAGAGGCTGCAAAAGTGAGGATGAGGTTGACCATCTGAGCATCATAAGCAGGACCTTCCATTTGGAAATGGCCGGCCCCTTCAATAAGATGGGTTTCGACTCGGCCAGCAGCAGACTTCAACTTGTTCTGCAGCTGTTTAACGCTCGTGAACCCGTCCTGTGTTCCCATAATGAAGAGCTTTGGTTTCTGAGACTGTAGGATGGCCTTGTGATGCCTCCCAAATAGCACGGAGGCCAGCATACCGAAAGGGTACCCTATGCTTACATAGCCGACAACTTCCTCAATCTGATCGACGGAAGACCCAGCAATTGGTGAACCTGTATGACAAGAGCAATTGTCTATTACGAATTGCAGTAACAGCTTCAAAGGATTCAAGAGACTAGGCAGTAAAGGATCACAGGCGCAAACAAAACTATACAGAAGATTAGGCAAAGATACTGGCTTCCTACATGCCTTATAAGTTAATCAAACTGTGATACAAAATTTTCATAATGATCCCCACTAGTTCAAGAAGAAATCAGCTTCTAGTTAGTTGTTTGTGCATTAGTCAATCATATCGAAAAGGACAAATACGCAGAAGATTGACAAGGATAACTACTTCAACCATACAAATTCAGCTTCTAGTTAGTAAATTGTGCATTGGCACTCAATCAAATCGAAAAGAACATATAGGCAGAGGGTTGACAAGGATAACTCCTTCAACAATACGAACTACCAAGGCCACAGCTACTTTCTCAGGTCAAACGAATCTCAGAAGGCTATCCTTCTAACTCTTATGTGTAAACCATCTAATTCTTCAATGATTATAACCAGGAATCGAGTTCTGTCAAGACTAGACCAACATTCACAAGTAAATTATGGTGAAAATAGAAAGCGATAGCTACAACACCACAAACACAGTTTCTCAAACTTGTCCAGATCAAACGAACAGAATGCTTAACACAAAACAGAGATTCAACACAAAAGGCTACACTATCAGCAGCTGAGAACGCTAATTACTATGAATCTACAGCAAAATCCCAGCACCAATTTATCGCAGATCTAATCAATCATAGATCATATAATAATCAAATGGGGTCCATCCACTCCACGAACGAGTATCCAAGCCACTAAATCTCCATCCATCGGAAGATCCAAAATAAGGAAAACAAGTAAGACAAGGAAATGAAACTCACCTGCAGAGGAACCCACCAAGAGAATCCTTCGGGTGCCAAGATTCTCGCAGACCCATTTGCAAACGGCGATCACATCCTTGATTTCAGAGAACCCAGTAAGGGAAGCCCGTCCCGTGGATCTCCCAGCTCCTCTCATGTCGAAGGTCACAGCTTTATAGCCTCTCTCGGCCAACCCAATTGCCATCCCTTTCAGTAGGGCTTGGCAGCCGCCCAAAACCGTAAATGGGTGCACGAGCACAATCACCAAGTCATCCCTGCCGCCGCCTGCTTTGTCTTCTGCTTCTTTAGGCTTGAAGAACCTGGCATGGAGCTTGGCCGCCCCGTCGCTGGTCTCCACTTTGGTGGACTCGACTGTGTAGTTCGACATGACGGGGAATTTCGGAATGGAGAGAAAGCGAGAGAGAGAGAGAGGAAGAAAGAAGTACTAATAACAAATAGGGAGGGATTTTTAAGGCGTGGTGGTTGTTTGGTGGAATGGTTAAGCTGAACAAGAGAGAACGAAAGAAGGAAGGGTGAGCAGGAAATGCTTCAATGGAGGAGAGCATTTGGTTCATATCACAATCTGTCATATGACTTCATTGTTTTCCATTATTTTTGTTGTTGAAAGTATGTTAAATTAAATCGTACCGGCCGTTCAACTACGAAATATCAGTATTGGAGGCTAAATCAATAGGCGGTATTTAATGGTCTAACGATTGAATAACGGTTAAACCACGGTTTTATCATAAAATATCATATCGCTGACTTTTCCGTTACGATATCCGGTACGGTATCATGGACCATGGTTGGTCCATGGTTGAAAACTATCATACGAGATTAGGCTTCTAGTTAAACAATGTGAGTATAATAGTTATGTAACTAAGTATTTCGAGATATAAAGATTCTTATTTGTGCTCATAAAATGTATGTAAACGAAATTTAGTAAAGAAAAAATAATACCATTGAACTTATTCATTCTCTGAAATGATAAATCATACGTGGTAATTCTCATACAAATAGAATTTGAAAGAATTATTGTAAGAAACTATTGAACTAATTCGTCATAGTAATTTAATTATACATAAAATGAATTCAATTCAACTTTACCTCAACTTTACTAATTACTATGCTAGTTCCTCATCAAGGAAGAAAGCGCACTCCTTTTCTACAAGTTCCTCATCCACAAACACAAAAGCCCTCATCTTCTTTCTTTCTTTCTTTCTCTATCCCTACACTTTGCCAGTTTGCCTACCCATTCCCTACCTAAGTTAGCAAGACTGAGACTTGGCTTATGTTAATATTGCTTCGAGATACATAGATCATGCTTTGATGTTTTATCAGTTCCATCTAAACTTTGAAGTTGGCCTCTTTGGATAATATGACCTGATAGAGTTAAGTTTCCATCTTTTCTATTGGCTTCCTTGCAAACTGTGAAATTGATGATCTTGGCTAGCTTGACTTTGCATGGAATGTAGGTGTAAGAGGATCGATATTTGTGGCAACATTGGAATCGAATTAGTAATGACCATCTTATCGCTGGCTTTGCAGGGGAATTCTTCGTTTATATGAGCTTTCTAATTATTGAAAGATAATAAGAAACTTATGGGTAGAGGTAGGGGAAAAGGAAAGAGGTTGACTGTGAGCAATCACGATGATGCTGGTAGTGGCGAAGAAGAGAAGATTCCTGCACAGAAGAGAAGAGGGAGACCACAAAAGCCATTGAAAGATGAATTCGATGAAGAAGAAATGGAGAAAATGATGGAGGAGGAAGATGTTGTGGAGAATGGGAAGGTGATGCATAACTCTCCTAGCAAAGAGACGAAAAGTCCAACTGCATCAGAGAATGGGAAGAAGAGGAGACGCAACTCTCAGCTGCAGCAACAGGCTAAGGAAAAACAGCCTGATTCGGTAATGAAGGAAGAGAATGGGGTAGTAGCAATTACCAATGACCCAATCAAGTCTAACGGGTTTAGGCAAAACGGGAGCAGGCGGAAGAACAAGCCTCGACGAGCTGCTGAGGCAGGCGTCGAATGCAAGTGACAGGGCCCCAGTGAATGAGTCTTGTGTCAATATAGGTCTCGGTTTTAACTCCGGCGGATGAAGATACAAAGTGAGGCCTTATGAAACGGAATCTCTTTTAGTTTTGCAATGTTGTTTTTGATCTAATTGTTTTTTCTTCCTTTTGGGGTCGATCATTCGAGCAGGCAGGTAACTTCATTATTGTTAGTTTCTCTCCTTGCGAGAGTTTCTGAATGCTGATTTCCTGCCTGTAATTTTGATTGTGATGGTGTTCATGGCTTCATGCAATCCAATCCAGTGGCTTTCATGTACCATATGATGTTCATTTCTTGCTACTCTTTTTCGTACTTTCGATCGTACGAAATGGCATCTGCAGGAGGTAGCATTTTGTAGTTTGGATCTGTCAAGAGTCTCCTTGCCAACTGCCCTTGTGTTTGACCATGCTTAGTTTAGAGGCTCAACTATTTAACCTTGCATCCTTCTTCTGGTCTAATTGCTACTTAAATTACTAGTTCAAATGGCATTTTCATTGGAATGGAAGCAGAAAAGGGATGGTGGGTTGGTTGAGATTATGTTAGTTAAAGATTGGTGTACCTAGATATTTCCATTGTTATTTGACTGGGGTTTTAAATCAACAGAGGAATCTATCTCTTGTTTCTATGGCCAAACTGAAGTTTGGTAAGACCAAGGATTTGGGGAGTCTTGTTGGCCTTTTGGGTTTCTTGTTTCAGACTCAAAGGTCTCAAACTTAGCTGTTGTTGAAGCAAAATAGAGGGGTTGTTTCCTTTTGTTGTAATGATGCTGCTAAATATGAGTTGTTAAAGGACCCATGCAGTGTTTTTATAGTAACTTAAGGTGGTGGAGTTTTGCTGAAGTTAGAAGAATGGCAGGTAGGTGTGGTTATGGATGGGGTGGAAGAAGAAGGTCTCAGTTGTCCATTTTATCATTCATTCTCATGATAAGACCATAAAGATAGAATTATAATTCAAGACTTTGAAACTTAAGGTAATAATTCATAAAAGTGGAGTGGTTAAAATTTAAAGAGTAAGGTTATGATTAAAATCTAAAAGGATATAAAAATTGTTTTTTTAAGGATGGTGTGAGGGCAAGAGAAAAGCTAACACACATTTCCTCTTTACTACTTATCATATTTCTTTCCATGCATCTTCAAATTAATCTCATGTCTCGTAAATCAAGTAGTTTCTCGTATTAATTAGGTGTGAGCAAGTTAGTTGTGACTTCTTTTCTTCTTCCTTCATGAAACTGTTTCGATTTACATAAGTTTGAATAAGATCTTTCATAAATCTAATTCAACAATTTAGTCTACCTAGTTGAAAAATCAAGTCTAACTAGTTGATAGAAAAGTCAAAACAGGAGAAATATAAACAAATATTATAAGAAATTAAGACATAATGAACCAACAATGGAGTAGTATGGGGCAGGACGGGTCGAAAGTAAATACCCACGTCCCACCCTACTAGTGGCGGAGGCAGGCCCTTTTGGCCTTGTCCCGGGACAGGGGTAAATTTCGGTGGAACAAAAATACGGCATATATATTTATATAGGTGATGGAACACAACACGTATAGGTAGTATTAGAGTACTTTGTCACTACAACACAACTCATTACTTGTCCAAAATTGACATAAAATTAATTTATTATACTATAAACGAAATTCCAATTGCAATAAAGACCATTGGGTCTCTTTTCTCCTTATGCCTATTCGATCTTTCACCAACAACCCTGAAATTGTCTAGCGACAACGGCAATCCCACTAGTTTTGGTCTACCAATTACAACGGCAAGTGTAAAAAGAGCATTTTTTTAGTTATATTAAGAACAGTTTCCAAGCCGATTTGACGACCAATTTGCTAATACCTGTTTAGTAAGATACATTGAAAGAGACTTATATTATAGTGTAGAAAATGAATGTTTTTGCGTTTCTTTCACTATATGAAATTCCTTCATAGTTGTTTATGAAAAGTATGATAGTATAATCGTTTATTTTTAATTTATGAATGAATTATTTGGATATAATTATTTTTTATTATTTCTATTAAATAATTCTTTTATTAGATACTTATATATTTAAGTTATGAAAAGAGGACATTGATGATTTGAATTGGTGCCTCCCCACTGCACCTTACAATACTATAAATTGGATAATACCTGTCTCATTGCGAATCAGAACGGATATTACCCGACGAGTCTCTACCTAACCGGATCATTCACACCCCCACTCTGGAATCCATCGAGGTCTTAAAGACGAATGTGAAAGACACTCTATACGTTGATTGTTGACCGAAAGCAGGGGGCATCTTATTGGGCCCGGGGCTCCGACTAGGCCGCCCATGTGGGCCTGCTGGAATATCTGCTGCAGCTGCCATTTTCTTTAATTATTCAAACCTTGTTCCTCAAGGTTACTTCCTTCCTTCTGCCCTTTACATCCAAAAAGTAAAAGAAACAATCGCGAAAGAATAGCTCGAGATCCGCCCTTTGCCCTTTTATTCTGTTGTTTTCCTCTTTCAGCCATTCTTGTGATCTCAGGTACTAAATCATTAAAGGCATCATATACCTCAAACTATTACTTCCATTAGACACCATGCCAACCAATGGACAAGAGTACAAACTCCCTCAATCATGGTTTCACAACAATATATGCATTGTTTGATGTCTACGAATTTAATGATGTTTCATAGGGTGTCTTTTCGTACTCGTATCTCAAATTCCTAATTCACTAGATATGTTGTTATGTGGTTTGAGGAGACATCCAAAAAATTATCATTTTTTAAGGATTACTAACTCAATTAGCTACATGTCTTGAATAACTCCTCACATGAAATTTCTGAGGGGTGCTTATAAAACAAAAAAAATCTACGGCTTATTGGTTAGAAAGATAGTTCCTTTTGGGTAGGATGACAATGTGTCGGGTTGGGTTAGGTTTTGCCAAACTCAAACCCATGAGTATATCCAGCAAAAAAATCCAGAGTAAAATTTATTGGGTTCAAAAAACTCAAACCCAACCCAACACCTCTAGATATCTTCGGGTTTACGGATACCCATGGGTTCTGGGTGGTAAAAAAAAAAGTACAATAACAAGTTCTTGTCAAGATAAAGTCTACAATCATTCTTCCCATGCAAATTATCTAAACAAAAAACACCAATTTAGAGCATACAAGCAAACAACAAAGTATCCATACAAATTGTTCAACATTAAATATCCATAAAGAACATGATTAGTGGAAAGCTTCTTCCTCTTTGTCAACTAAATTTCTTGACTCTCCACTCCATAATATCAACTTCATTCTAAACAATTAGAAAGAACAAATTAGACATTTCCCCACAAGTATAAGAAATATTAGTTGCTTAAGTAAGATATATTGCTTAGAATATTATGATGGAGGGTGGCCGAATGGGAGGGTAAGTGAGTAAGGGTTTCGCTGTTGGGAACGGATACGGGTTGGATTAGGTTGGATATAGTCAAATCCAAACCCAACCCGCGAAACAGTAAACGAGTTTATACCCGAACTTGGCCCCATAATTCGTCAATACGGATTTTATTCGCTGACC